AGTTGGTTATGCAAACGTTATCCAAAACTTGAGCACATTGAAATTAACCCAGAATTTTCCGGTGAATTCTTCTGCTCAGAAATAGAAACGTTTATCAAGTTAAATTCGCACATCAAAAGCTTGGCTGTCGACATGGAGTTCTTAGAACTTGAAGACCTCCTTTTACAAAGTGATATCAAACTGGATGATTTGGCACTATCGTTTGAACTGTTTGATATGGGCTACCATGATGATGAAAAAGAAACAGCAAGAAGAGACGAAGACACATTTGATCTACTTCATATGCTTTACGAACAAGGATTTTATAAACGATTACATCTTTATGAATGTGAAGAATTTTCGACAAGAAGAATTGAACGCTTGAGCAAATTACCGGGACTGGAAACGTTTCATTACACTAGCAGAAGCATTGACATTCTCAAAGATTTTACAAATTTGAAGGAATTACAATTGGATCGTAGTTTAACGTTTGTTGAATCCAAATATTTGGCAACAAATTTGCAAAATCTTGAGCGAATTCATTTCTGGTCTACGATGAAGGATTTCAATTTGATTTTTCCATTTATTCGATATTCAGTGAAATTAAACAAAATCGTCATCACTCGTTTTGACAATATAAGTTTGGCTTATGCAGTTCTAAACTTGTTAAAATTGAGCAAGGAACGTGAAAAATTGCTGGGCAGTAGAAAAATTATAATTTTTGTCGAGGAGGTGGTGTTTTTACATTTTAAATGGAAGAATTGGACAATTGACACAAAGATGATTGAACTTCGGCGAGCGGAATCACATCAATGGAATCGTCATTTCTCCACGAAAAGTTTTGGTCATCATTCATATCCCTAGACGGACGTTTACCGATCTGGAATATGAAATTTTAATTTTAAAAAATAAAAAATGTCAACATTTTAAGTGGATAAACCAAAACATTTTTAATCAGAATTTTCAACCAGAAAAAGTAAATACGAAGGTCACGTGATGATTTGAATTTGAAATGAATTTTTAGTTTTGATATAAGTTAAAGGATGAAAGAAAAAACATAAGAGTAAAATGAATGTCTAATAAAATAATTCTTTGGATCGTATGGCTGTTTTCAGATTGAAAATCAAGACTCTTTCTACAGTTTTTTTGTACAATTTTTGTGTCTACAATTGTTCCCGTATCGATCATTCCAAACGTACATTGGATGGTACAAAAACATTTTGACAGTTAATAAATACATACAGTGAACAATGAACACACACAATCACATAGCGTATGCGCCATACACGCACTACTAAACAAAACAATTCGGTGAAAAACCAAAAATTCATTGATGCTGTTTTTGCGCTTTATTTTTAAATCATCAACGTTATAACATATTATATACGATTTTGGAGGTGAATAAATTGAAAAAAAAAAAAAAACAATTTATTTAAAAATGATTTTTCAATTTTAAATGTAAAGTAACAAAAATCTGGTATCATCATATCTTTCAATTGTTCATGCATATTCAAAAATCCTATCAAAAATTTGAATACCTGATTAATCCAGTTCGGGTTTTAACAATTTTTTGGTTATTAAATATATGATAATGTTCATTTTATGAAAGTTTATAAATTTAATGACATAAGTAAATGAATTCTTAAAAAATAAATTGATATTCTGTTTTAAATCACATTTGAAATATTTTCTGCATATTGATAAGATTATATCTTTGCTTCAGCAAATGATTGAAAATACAAAAAAAAAAATTAAAAAATTAATGATTTAATAATGTTTTTATCGATTTGTAAACTTGACTATTAAAGTCGTTTATATTGTAAATAATGCCGTGCCTTCGACGGACTTATAAATTTTAAAGAAAATGATGAAAACATGAAGAAAAGATATTATTAAACTGTAACAAAATTTAAAAACGCCTATTATATGTTGTAGTATGCTCCATAGACTCCCTGTTCATGAAGTGGGTTCACAAGCTGGATGGCTGTTATATGCATGAAGAGCTCAATTGCTCTTCGAATTTCGTAGCTCCAAAACACTTCACCGTATTTTCGTGAAAACGCAATGCACTTGTCAATTACAGCTTGCACCCTTTTATCGTCAATGAAACATTGTCCCAAATCCTTGTAGCCTTTCTCGATCGATTGAAAGTCGGGATCGGATTCAAGTTGTTGCAGTTCGGCTTTTGTTGCTGTTGTACCTGTGCAACGCATGCACGTACACGTCACATGATCTGGCGCAAGGTATTCACCGAACCCATTTTTCTCGAAATCATTTTTATCCACCAGAAATTTTAAGTCTGAGATGAGTAGCTGTTGACCTTTTTTAATTGGCCGAACTGTAATATAGACTTCGTTTCCATCACAATCGGTGTATAAAACGTTTGGCGCACAAGAACGCTGGAAGTATGGCTGCATCAGAGCGGTTCGAGCGTAAAATGGTGGAAATTTAGTTTGATCTTCTGATTCATCCAACCACCATGGCCTCTTTCGGTGGATATTCGACATTGTGACCAGCACGTGATGCCATACAAGGTGCGTCAAGAAATTACGATGATTTCTCGATTTGAACGTTTCGACGATTTTGGGAATGTGTTCAATTAATACATCACATGCCATAAAATAATTGAGTATAAACCTATGTAAAAACTCATATGATCCTTCATTGGATTTGATCGGAAGCTTGAGAAATGCTCGGTATTTTGAATGTAAGCTTGCAATACTCGACGGGATTTCTTTTGGATTGCTTTCCCTTGCTGCCTCTACAAATTTAATCAAGTCGTTTATATTAGGAAACATTTTGACAGCCACCAAAATTCCTCGCACCAAATGCAAGGTTTCACCATTTAGTACGGCCTTTGAGGTACAAGTCATGCCACATACGTATCCATGAATATCACTTTTTTGACATTCTTCACTGCAAAATAATGCGAGCGGACACATTTTGCACGGCATTAAATTGGTGTTGCCTTTCAAACAAATATTACATTTTCGCGCATAGTCACGATAAATGTATTTTTCAAATGGCTCATCTACCACAACCGTTTTGCCAACATCAATATCTTCCTTGGCGGTGACACAGAATTCGTTGTTTTTGTCTTTGTCGATTTGCAATACATTTGCCATGCACGGAAATTTTTCGTCAGGATCAAAACTTAATTTGGCACCAAACTCGGTGGACTGTTTTGCATTTTCCATCTCTTCCAAGCAACTGGCTTCACGTTTATCCAACTTCTTCATCAGTTCTGCTGGATAGCCGGCCTTTTTCGCCAAGTCAATGTCAGTGAGGCATTCGTTATACCGTTTCAAATGCAAAAAACAACTGGCCCGATTTGCATACGCCAAACTAATTTGACGGTCACTTTCAGCAAAGCGAAGACTATCGTTGTAATCTTCAATGGCTTCGACATAGTCACGGTTTCGGAATCTCATATTTCCCAATTCTCGTTTCGAAATTGATGTTTTATCTTTTTTCACATGTCTTTGAATGTTTATATTGTATTCATCTTCATGCGACAATTTCGATCTATGTGATTCACGTAAATCGATGTACTCTTTTTTCCATAACATATTGATCAACGATTTCTGAGATAGAGTGGATTGATGAACTTTTTTTGTTTTGTACTAAATAAAAAAAAAACAAAGTTTGAGCACACATTTTGGAGGAAAATTCTGATGTTATAAAAGTACTTACCTAAGTTGGCATTCACAACAAAATATGATGTACGACGCAAATTGAAACAATGCACACTATGCTTGAATGTTTGGACTTGTTGCTTATGTTGTTAGTAATGTTGAACCACCGGTTGTCAAAAACAGTTGCTATACTAATAAAGAGCTGTCATACGCAAGGAAGCGTATGTGTATTGGTGAGTGTATATTACATGTCTCCAGTGCGTCCGAGAGAGTGTGAGTGTGAGGAATTTATTACGACGATTTGTGTGTATTGACAGTTTTGCTTAGTAGTCTCCTGCTTCGATGTTTTTGTCGTCCCTTTTGTGTGCAAGTATGTATGTAGTTGTTTGTCAGTTTCAATGTTGGGAGATGTCAATATCTTCTGTTGTAAAATTTAAAATTTTAAAAACAATGAACGTTTCTTGAATTCTTGACAGTAATATTTTGAAAAAAAAAAACGTAAGCATGTATGTTTTCTTTGCATGTATTATCTTTTTTCTTAATGTGTAAGGAACAGCATCTTTTGGCTACATTTTTGTTTTAAATATATATAGTATGAATCGAAAACTTTTGGAAGGAACACATCATTTTTAGTGCAGACAATTTTTTAACGCTTATAAATTGTTTGTAATATTCAAACAATAACAATATTCTTTCTGACGTTTAAAATAATGGTTCAAATTTGATTTCATGCTCTAAAAAATGAAAAATATTGTTGTATTGTATCGTTTCGAGAAAAACCGTTAAATATACCACAATAAACAGATAAATTTGTGGAATATACATATCCTTTTGATTTTTTTTTTGCAAAGCATCGATGTATTTCTTGCCCAAAAAATGATCTTATCGCTATTAACATGTTTGAATTTGGGAATCCATCATCAAATTCGTCAGATTTGCAGTGGAATGATGCTGACCAACATGTCTGGATTTTTATTTCATTTTTTTTTTTCACGAAAATTATTACAGTTTAAGTTTTTTTTTTAAATGCGGAATAATTTAAGGCCATTCCAAATAATTTGGAGGATAAGAAATTTATTGCTATACTATGCATGTAATTTGTTCTTATTAATCATTTTAAATAGAGATTACTATAATTTATTGACAGTAAAAACAAATAAACAAAAAATTACCAATACATGTTATACGAAATTTGATGGCAAAAGAGATAAGAAAACGGTGTTCACTATGTACTGAACGAAAAATATCAGAATACGCACCTACATCTATATGTGTAAGTGACGTATGTCCATATTATTAATCTTTTTTGTCTTCTTCGCTTTTGAAGCATTATAAAAGAAAAGAAATGGGGCCATAGACACACGTGTATTGGCATGGAAATATTGAACTACCTGATGAACACAGTAACTTTGATAGAGTTTATATTTTAGTTGAAACATCTAGGCAAGAGCATTGTGGTTTTGGTCAATTTGATTTTAAAAAATGGACCATCCAGAAGAAAAGGAGATCAATGGTAAGAACTCAAAACTAACCAATTGAAACGTGCAAAAGAGTGGTATTTTAGAAAACAACTTAATGATGATCTAACAAACTAATATGACGCATTTAAATAAATCTCAGTTTTTTTTTAAATAAGATATTCTACTAAAAAAATCACAAAAACAGTAAGAAGTATCAGCTTATCAGTATCACTTATTGACAAAAATCGTTATTTTTATGAATTTCGTTGGATCTTTTTCAGAGCTGCTATCGGCATCTCAGAAGTGCGGCACCTGACGAAGTTAGTGCGCTCTTTTTCGGGTGCCGCACTCGATTGCATATAAATAAATATGTTTTTTTTTTTTTTTTTTAAATAAGAGTTCTTATATTTTAGATTCAAATGGAGAAACGTCGAAGTTGACGCCAAATGTTGTAATGACAGAACAGGACAAAATTCCATATCCAAAACGAGTATTTCTTATTTTTGGAAGTGAGTTCTGTGAACGCTTCAACTACTATGGTTTAAAAGGTAAAAAGTTCCAAATTTTTACTCGTTTATTCGGTTGTAAAGCACTGAATTTATTTTCAGCAATTTTGGTACTTTATTTGAAAAATAAATTGGCTTACGATCCAAATGATGCGACTGTATTGTTTCACATATTTACTGCAATGACATATTCAGCGACTATAATGGGTGGCATAATATCTGACGTATGGTGGGGAAAATTTAATACAATTTTTTATTTATCTATGTTTTATACGGTGGGAAGTATTATCATTTCAATCGGAGCCGTTCCACTTATTGACCTCTCACCGAACATCACTCTCATCATTGGTTTAGTTTTGACTGCCATCGGAGCTGGTGGAATTAAACCGTGCGTTTCAGCTTTTGGTGCTGACCAATTCAAAATTCCAGAACAAGCCGACAAACTGAGCAAATACTTTTCATTATTTTACTTCACAATCAATGCTGGTCCGCTCATTTCAACCACCGTTCTCCCAATTCTAAGGGGAAATGTTCATTGTTTTGGAGAAAATGATTGTTATTCGCTTGCGTTCGGAGTTCCTGCTGCTTTGATGATTATTTCCATTCGTAAAATTGATTTCAACTATATCTACAACTTAAATATGTTTCAATGATTTTCGATTCGTTTTTTTTTTCAGTATTTTTTGTCACTGGTAAATCGTCGTACACTCAAGTTAAAATCTCCTCAGAAAATATGATTTTGCAGATATTCAAGTGCATAAAGGTAAATAAAACATGCGTTTGAAGTTTAATTTAATATTTTTCAGTTATTTGACCTTTTAGCATGCCGTTCACACCAAAAGGCTGGAACGTAAGACAAAGCCACAGAAAAATCTGCTCGACTACTCAATAGATAAGTATGGCATCGAACTGGTTAGCGATATAAGAATCGTAATGAAGATATTGGTGCTCTATCTGCCCTTAGCTTTCTTTTGGACGTTATTTGGGCAACTTGGATCTCGCTGGTACAGAATTTGATTAATGATAACCAAATTGAAATTTAAAAATTGATTTTATCGCTATATCTGTTTCAGGACTCTTCAGGCAAACAGGATGAACGGAAATCTTGGGTTTTATATTATAAAACCAGATCAAATGATATTACTGAATTCACTTTTGTGCATCTTATTTGTTCCATTGTTTGAAATCATCGTTTATCCAATATTAAATAAGATCGGAGTACGGCGTCCACTTCAAAAAATCACAATTGGCGGAACTTTGACAGGAATTTCATTCTTGTTGGCTACACTTGTCGAATTTAAAATTGTTTCGTCACCCATGCATTCTGTAAATATGCTTTGGCAAGTACCCCAATATGTTATTATGGCATTGGGCGAGGTTCTCTTTTCCGTAACCGGTTACGCATTTTCTTATGAACAAGCACCCGTTAGCATGAAATCGGTTTTACAATCGTTTTGGCTTTTGAATATTGCATTGGGTAATGGCATTTTTGTGGTTATAACTAAAATGAATATTGTTGAATCACAAGCGCACGAGTTTATTCTATTTGCCAGTTTAATGTTTGTTGCTATGTTTATATTTGGGATAATGGCGCATAATTTCAAAAACAACACTATGTTGTTGAAGTAAATGAACGTATTGAATCAATAGAGATCAATAATTAAACTAGAAAATAAATCATGAAAATCGATTAATATTGCTCCATAATTATACAAGAAAATTATAAAATGGTTAAATAAAATTGATTAAATAAATTAATGACATTTTTTTTGTTTTAGTCGACCAAATTCAGATGCATAGAAATTGAAAATTCATTGAAAATTCTGAATTTTACAAAAAACCATCTATTTAAATGGCTGGTCGTTGTATGTGATTTGAATTGGTTGATTTTCTCGGCCGTCGGGAAAACGATCCGGTCGAAATTCTGGATTCGGAGATTCTCTCAAGTCGACATCATCTTCTGTTTTGCCTTGGTATAGGGAGGCCCAAGTCAAGTCATCGGGAATAATTTGGGTCTTTTCATTTATTATTATATCACCAGCAGCGGCAACAGCGATGGAGACGAGCATAACAATGTCCTAAATTGAAAATAAAAATCACATAACGATCAATAAAACCATTCAAACAAATAGATTGATTCAAATAACAATAAATTGACACTTTTTCAAATTGAATTTCATTTTGGTTGATTTTTTTTTGTTGTCTTTAATCACTTGGGAACTAAATGACTTCCATGCTCTTTCAAATTTTCGACGTCGTATTTATACTAAAAATTTGGACAGCGCGATCATCATACATGTGGCTGTCGTTTTTTTTTTCATATAGATATTTTGTCATACAGATAAATCATAGAAAATGGCACTAAATATATATATATACGTATTCGTGTAATACAAATATATTCGAGAATATATACACTGCCGTCAGAAAGTTTGGGGCCAAACACATTGTTTTCATACAATTTCATACGAATTAAAATTATTTTGGAGCATTATTTAATATATTTCGGAAATAGCTAGATCCATTATTTTTTGCACACTTATTGTTCTATTTACGGAGAGTGAACTAGTGAAGTTTTACCAAAAAATATCTACGTTTTTATAAAATATCAGATGTTTGCACTTTCATACAAAAAAAATGTATTTGAACCCAAACTTTCTGACGGCAGTGTATATAAGTATTGAATTCTGTAAAATTTAAATCGAAATATTCTATCCAACAACAATTTAATAGAATCTATTGAAATTTTTACAACGCACCATGCTCTACCGAAATTGTGGAATTTAGGCAAATAATTTTGCCTTTATTATGTAATGAATTAGCAAATGAAGAATAACTGAGAGAAGGAAGAGAAGAAATTGATGAATTTATCAAATTTAACATATCATGTATTTGATGAGGAGAAAAACCAGATTTGTAATGATATAATCTATCTGCCAAACTATGGTATGCAAAATTTCGGTGATAAGATGTTAAGAAAAATTAATTTATTTGCCAATATGTGGGTCAACAACGATCGTCATCAGTTTCTTTCATTCTAGCTAGAATGTAACTTTTTTATATGTATATTTTGCATAATCCATGAAAGTATATCTATTCACTTATTTGACATTTCAGTCACTTGATTATGAAAAAAGTCAAAACGTTCAACTCTTACTCCAGAACTGGATTACGTGGTTATGGAAATCCGAAGAGGTGCAAAAACTAATGACGAAACGCCAATTTTTCGTTGGATTATTCATTTCTTTTAAGCCAAACCCAATGTTTGAAAATTTCAGAGATGATCAACTTGAGTTGGTTTACCTCGATCATATTCTACTTCTATGCTGATATTCTATGTTAAACTGGAATGTTTTGTCTACCATAGTGACCTATATATTGTAATTTGAAAATGGTGTTGAATATCTTAACACCGAAAAATAATTAAAAAGAAGTAGATTTATTGTTGCAATGAAATTATTACACGTTGATGTCGATCGCGGACTACCTAAAGTCAATATAAGTTACCGTTGATCGTCAAGACATCAAATTTATGTGTATTTTATAAATAATAATTTTCTTTGAAGAAAAATAACCAAGAAAAGAAATCAATGGACATGCTCAACTTCAAGGACATCACTCTGCGATGATCATCCGTTCCATTTATTTATTCAAAAGACACATAATACGCACTCACGAAGCAATGGATCTTAAAATCCCTGCACATAATACCGGAATGAAGTGAAGAACAGCGAAGCAAAAACAACGAGCGTTGTCGGTAAAAGCAGTCTGTGTGCGTTGCGAATATACATTTTGCCCATTCGGCATATCAGCGGTGATGTTATATTGTTTCTACGTTAGTTTCAGATTGGCCGTCGCAATGTTCGGTATAACCGCTTGTCGCTTCTTTTCGAGCACATAACGATCAACATCACCAGCGAGTGCATTTTCACATTTTAATATTCTACTTCCGAACTGTTGAAATGCTGATTAGTTTTTTTTAATTTTTAAGCAAACAAAAAGAGTTAAAGTGCGTCTGTTTAGTTTGTAATTTCTTATGTACGGAAGAAACATGATCAGTTCTCATTTGAAATAATTTCATATTTGCTTGCGGATCAAGAAGCAAAATATTAAAGAAAAAAGTGGAAGAAAAAAAAAACAGATCTGGTGCTAAAAGGATAAATTGAGTTGCAAGTAAATTCCGACAAATCGTAAGTGAAAATAGAATGTTAGACCCCAAAACCAAACATATTGTCAACGAAGAAGAAAACTTTGTGTTTCAAAGTATGGAAAATCAATTTTCTACTGAAGGCAATTCGAATGTGAATTAACCCATTCCCGAACAAATTCACACTAATATCATTTGAAAGAAAGCCAAAAAAAAACTCATAGAATATTTAAAAATCAATTCCTGTCCATTACGTCTTTTTTGTGCGTCACTTTTTTTTTGTTTTCATTTCGGTCATTCATTATGTTCTTAACAAGATGATGATTGTCGAAGAGAAAAGTGAATGAAGTGTATTCGCATTCAAATGAAGCGTTTGTCAATTAGTGCTACCGGGTGTCTCACAAAAAAGCATGCGTCAAACAGAGATGGGGATAAAGTGTTTGCAATTGAAATTGGCCATAGTTTAACGGTCGATAGTGTTTTTCTTTCTTTGCATATATCTTTCCATTTCTAATTGTAATTGACCCAAAAAGACAGAACATATGATATATCTGTAGCTCACAAGTCTGCGCCGTTTGTCGTAAACCAAGTAGAAAAAAAAATAAGAATTTATGTTGAAAAAGTAAAAGATGCATGACGACGAATGAAACAACAACAACAAAATTATAAGATGTGAGCAGTATCTGAATGGATTAGAACCGGATTGGTTTTTATGCGAGACACACAAGATAGAATCAACAAAACGGCCTCTGTTCAACCTGTCTCTCTATTTATTACTCTCGCATAGTCTCTTTAATTGTTTGATGCGATTTTCTCCGCATTTGACCATTTTGGATATACGGTATAATGAAAGGAGAAGTTTTGAACATTTCTATACTTTTTGTTGTGCCATTGTTAAAACAAAAAGTGCGTGTGAATGATAAATTGTAGATAAAATTCAAATTTCTTTTCAGCTGATTTATACCGGATCTAATTCAAATTGTGTGCAAACCACCATCCCAACCAAAATCAATTGTAATTTTTAAAAACATGAATCACAACACACAGAATTTCGATTTAATAATCTTAAATGTAGGAAAACAACACTCTTTCCAATCAAACAATGGTAAATAAAATTCTATTCCGAATGTGAATGCACACATATGAGCCACAATCTGAATTCAGTGACAAATAATAAAAACATTCACGCGTATGTGGTTATATATGCCTTTGCATTGATTTAGCGATTGTTGCTCTATGTCGATGGGTTTGATTGCGACACAAAAACGAAGAGAATATATTGTGACTGCGCTTCGAATCGTCATCGACGACATCCACGTTCGTCTTCTCAGAAGAACAAAGATAATAAGAATTTAATTGTCATTTGTTCTTATTGTCTCATAAGCGTCTCTTCGCGGTTATTAGACAATGTGCGACATCGTTAATGGTATAACCATCAATGCACATGGCGCATATGCACATATGAAACACTTTCTAGCCGAATTGTGACGGGTAACCGACTATACATCTACTTTTTTGTTCGTTGGTTTAATTTTGAAAACAGATAGAAACGAAAAGAGTAACAAGTTGTCGGTTGCTATCGATACGGTTTTTGATGCACGTTTTCTATATTATTAATATTCGGTAGCGGTTTGTACTGAGACAGACACACACCGACACTCATTCAATGTAATTGCGCATTGTTTTATTTTCGCACATACATTGCTCTTCATCATATTGTATCGAGGGCGTAGGAATTCCATCTGTTCGGCTATCATTCTTTCCTTTGTCAATCTCTTTCTTCCGATCATTTCATTATTATTATTTTTGTTGTGCTGGTTTTTTTTCGTCATTTTTTATATACTGAAATAATCACGCACTCCATTACCATTGTCTGCATATAAATGAATTTAATTTTAGAGAGATGAAACTAGTATTAGTTACTTTAATTGCATTTCGAATTTTCGATGAATAAAATTCAATTTGAAAAAAAAAAAAAAAAAAAAAAAAAAAATAACGAAATTGACGACTAAATTGGAAATCGAAATCCAATGAAAAGTGTGCACACGCGACAAAGTACATTTTTCGATTTTTGACAGATTAAGCATATAAATGACATACCATATACAATGATTAAATTTCGCGCACTTTCTTCGATCACACCACACTAACATATGTGTATTCAAAACAATGGCCAACAAAAATTCGTCGACAATTTTTTATTTTCTTCAATGAATAAAGAGGCGTTAGTATATTTAGAATTGATATATTTCGTGAGTGACATACTAAACGTAGCATCTGCTCGGAATAATTTATGAATTTCACTAATTCAAACGAGTAACCACTTTTATTTAGACATAAAACAACACAAATTAGAATAACGATCAATTAAATGTGTTTTCTCGTAACTGTTTTACAATATTTGAATGGTCATGCAACCGTTTTTCGTAGACGACGAAAAGAAGCCAACTGTAAAAAGTGAAACGATCATTTTTTTTGAAATGATATGAGCACGAGAATCGTTCTAAAGCAAAGCAAGAAAATGAGACTATAATCTGAAAATGGTGCAAATGATATTCATAAATCAATATCCATTCACATGTGATTCAAATCATATAACAATACAGCGGAATCGGAATAAATCAAGTAAATCATCCATTCATTTTCTTTCGCTATGTATTTGCTGGTTTTTTTTCAATTCCGATTTCAATGCACTCGTAACGAAATCGTACACATTCACAAGCGAAATATATTGGCCGTTTATTTTGCTCATGACACGATCATGACCTAGTCTTTTACGGCTATAATAATTTCTAATTCTCTTTTTTCCAGTCCCGATTCAAACCGAAAGTAAGAATCGCATGCAATGCATTTTCATTATTATTGTTCGTGTCTGTGTCACTGTGTTCTCATCCTCGAAAAAGAAGCGCAAACGAAGAGAGTCAAAAAAATGAAAGAAAAAAAAAAATTCACGCGCATCGTTCGATTTCTTTTAGTCTTTGGACGGTTTCAAACGGTAAACAAACGACACACAGTGTACACACATCATTAAACCTGTTCAACTTGCGTTCTTTTCAGAAACCAAGAAGAAGATGACTGTAAACCTCATCGTTTACTATCAACATCGTTTGCACGCTTATTTTATCATTCAATGGCAATTGAACCAGTATGAATGTAAACACCAAACCATAAAGAATGCTCCGTTCTCTCTTTCTTTACCGATTGATACGAATTGCAATCGATTGAGTTCGCGCAGTCACAACTCAGAATCCAGAGAATTTACTGCAGACGAATAAAAAATTAGAAGAAACTCAGATGAAATCGATGATATATCTCGATTGGGTAGTTCCTCTGGTGCAAACAAGCATCGGTTGAACTGTAGGACAACAAAATGTATTTCCCTATTGTGACGCAGATGTTGTATATTCTCAAATTGCCTTTCGGCCATTGAAAGAGAGTTTACTGTATTTTAATCGTTTTCATGTTAAACAAAAGCATCGTGCTCACTTAGATTAATGTATTCACTGTTTAAACTTTATATGTATACCGCAAACATTTACATTGTCAACTATTTTTATGTACATTAAATTCCATTGTGGCTAATATAAAACGAGAGTTCTTGAGATGCTAGCAAAATTGTGGAAAATTTGTGATTAAAATTGAATCTTAGTACCTTTCGACCGTAAAAGTGGCTTTAATACGATTTTTGAGGTCAGTTAGGTCCGTTGAATTCATATAGAAATGAAACATCTTCACTTTTCATAACATGATTGAAATTATTTAAATCGTTTCAAGTGCTTCTGCCATAATACGATCAGTCACATGAAATGAGTTTTCGTATGAATTTAAACAAAATTTCCAACAACGACTGCACGCACATTTCGGTCGTAATATACGCACATAATTTAAATTAGCATAATCAGCACATACTCACACTAAATAAACATGAAAAGAGAAGAGAACACACACACACACACCAATGGTCGCAACATAAAAACCTGTATTCAGCAAACTATTTATCAATTATCCACAAAATAATTTATGAGAAATCCATGACGATCGGTATTTGTAGTGAATCTTCATTACGTGATCTCCGTACAGCGGCGTTGCATTTGCATAGGAAGCAGAGAAACAGAGATAATGTCACTTCATTTTATGCTTGAATGTGTTTTTGTTGATTGTTGATTGTTGCTTGTTGGTTGCACTAAATTAGAGTTCAAGTATTCCATCAATATTATGCCATCGATGAAAATGAGAAGCGAATTCTTTGACACACTTCTTTGAATGAAACAAAGAGAAAATTGGAGACAAAAAAAACAATTTGCTAAAAAAAATCGACTGATAAACATTGGGCAAAGTGTGGACGAATTCCAGTGCCATCGATTATGATGTAACGAAACACAGTTAACGGTAAAAGAGGCACAAAAAAAATTGTGTTTCATCAGTTTGAGGTATGTTCAGTTTTGTTTTTCAATATCTGTGCTGTCCTGATGTCAATTCAAAGCGATTTTGCTCATTTTATTTTGGTCGCATTCGTAATCATTTCTGTTTTTATTTCACCGGCAATTGAATGTGATGATTAAAATGAGCGTGTATACAAGTGAAATCGATCATTCGACCGAATGCATTTCGAAGAATCGTTTATGAATTTGTGTTTTGGGAACATCAAAATCCCTAAACTGCACGGTAAACTTGTTTCAGCTCTGGTTGAATTTCGCACATTTCATCAACAACCGGAGAAGAACTTTTCAAATGAATACAAAACTAATCAAACGTGTTTATTAAACGATACACGTATTTTATAGGGAAAAGGAGCCATTGAAAAGTGCGTAATTAATTAGTGAAAAGATTTGTGAAACAAAATCGAGGACAATAAATTGCCCAATCATCATATGTGATTCTATTATATATCAAATCGAAAGGAAGGCACACACACACACACTCAAAGTGTCACAAAGAAAGGAAGTATGTCAAGTTGTCCATCAAAAAATTTCAAATCATCATATAGAATGTGCGCGTATACGGCGTAATATACGATTCGATGTCGAACGTCAATCGATTATTGGCTCTCAAATAAATTTCAGGCGAGACCACTAAAAGCCTACTTTTCTTCGATTTCCGCATTTAGAGAGTTAGAAAGAGAACTTTATAGATTTTATTTTAACGAAAATTATGCAAATAATCCGTGTCACGGCCAATGACGCGCAATATGATCATTTTAAAAGAACGACAGATTTCTCTTGGTTTTAATTCAACAATATCACGATATATTACGTATCAACCTGCTCATTTATTGTCATTGGTAATTCGATTGGTTTTCACACAAATTTTCATGCGATCACAGTCGGCTATTTGGGAACGATCACATATAAACAGTCAGAACGTCCCCAATTCACCGGCTGACTGTCAATATGTTTACACACGGGTAATTAATAGTTAAAAAATATTCACTCGCACGTACAAATGTATCCAATCATTAATCGAACGAACACGCATGTATACTGCACAACAGTGTCGCGACAAAAGTGCAAATGCAAATCGAAGTTTTATGACTGTAATTAGAAAATTGACCAAATAGTTGCTCAAACGACATCATCATTATTATCACTAACAATATACTTTATGGTTAAAAAGTGATTTGTTTCCGTATAATATGCGCATCGTTAGAAATCAATGGTGATCATTTTCTTATTTTGATTACAACTGCGTGACACACACACGCACCGACAATCGATTGGAATTTCATTCTAATTGCGAATTAGAAACTTTTATTTTATCACATTCGTATAATGTGCACTGATTTATGATACCATAAAGATTCACTTCCAGTTGTGGGACGGACAGTGCCTTTTGCCCATGCGTGTGTGCTTCGCACTACCACGAGGAAGTTTACATTGTTTTTAACAATCATATCTACTACAATCGTACAGATCATCGAACTAGTTTCCTACTTTTTTTTTTCTTCTTTATTCAATGGTGCACATGTGCAAGCATTTCATTTCTCTTCGGGCAAAAATGTGTAAAACACCGAGTGAATTACTTTGTACATGTTACCATGCGTTCGATGCAGCAACTTCTAGTCTTCTCTAAAACTTAATTCTAATGACTATACAAACAATCATTATAAGATGGTTGCGCATTGCTTCCATCGCATTCATTTCTATTTCATTTTACGTACATGTTTTCGCTCGTCGTGTCAGCGAAACCAACAGAATATAACCATAATGATCTGAACATATGAGCGGAAACCAGATTATGATGGTTATAAACTTACGCACATGATCGGGCCAATAATTGCTTTGTGAAAATGTGTATATGCACTGCATAAAAGTTGCATAGAAAATTCAATACCTATATATGATGCGGAACACAACACTATAAGTTACCATTTTGGTGATTTACCATTTATAATTCCACTTTATGTCAACAACGAACCCCTTTTAAATAATTTTCATATTTCCATTCATAGGTTTGGGTGCAAGGAACTTAATCTAGATACATCTTCTTTATGTGAAAAAAAAAAAAAAAAAAAAAAACAAACAAACATAAAACATTTTATTTATATACCATGGAAGTGCTCTATTTTTGGCTTAAAACAATCGTGACCATTGTGATAATTTCGATTGTATCGAGTCAAAGTATAAAACAACCAAACGATCATAGTTCGACGACACATTTGAATATCGAAAAAATCAATCAAAATTTCGTTAGTAGAACAAAACAAAATAGCTCAAATGCGATACGTGATATTAATACAAACAGTGAATCAAAAACTAAACCAAATCCAGACTCAGATGACTCGAACGCATCGAATGAAGCGAATAAAGCACATTCGAGAAAAAAACGATTGATTTGGATTACAGATGATGGACGACTTGCATTGCCACCGGGCACTGTGCTCAGTTTAACACCGACTATATCGTTGCCATTGGTTCGATATCCATTGGATGGATTTCTTTCGAATATGACAATGAGCTTTCCACTTACCATTGACTTTGATAAATTGGGATTAACCGATAACGAGAATCCATTGGGTGTTTTACCGCCAATTTTTGCACGCAAAATGGGAAGAGCGGCCGGTTCAGCTTTAGGTATAGACAACGGTTTATATTTCTTTTTCAGTATTTTTTTCAAAGTCTTTCATTTGACACCCCGAATACACTTGATTTACTTAAATTTTTCATTCTCAGCCGATTACGTTGGTGCATATTTAACGTCACGCAAGGCTCGTTCGATATCGGAACAGGAAGGTGATGAATTCATGACAATTTCACCGAAAAAAGCGCCCACACTACCCGACCAACATAAGCATGCATTCCATGGTGGCGAACGTGCAATTTTATATGGCATTGCCGAAGATTTTCTATCAACATTCGGTGTGGATGGCAAAGCCTGTTTACTCCGAACGATTTGCGAAATACATTCGAAAAAGACGCTCGATCATTTGGGATTTCTTGGTGAAGTTGCCAAACTATTTTTCACGTATGTTTTTTTTGTGTGCATAAATTCTCTTTTTCCATCAATCGATTTTTAATTCAATTTATCTTTATTTCGGTTTTTCTTCTCTCACTTCAGTGCCACCAAATCAAATTATGCACATTTGTTGACGGAATATGTAACAGCGCAACAAATTGGTGAGGGTACTGTGGGACCTGGTGAATGTTTTCCATACTATAAAAAATGTCCGAAAAGTATATTCAAAAGTGGAAGAGAAGCCAATAAATATAGGTAAACATTGAAATAAATACTCATCTATTAAAAAAAAAACCTCATTGATTTCAACCATTTTTGTTTCAGCCATATACCGTCGGATAGCGCTTCCGAATTAGATGATAATGAAAATGAAATTGAACTTTTCAATGATTCCGACAATGAACTAGCTCAAATGAATGAAAATAAAGATGCAACTCAATCAATGTTTAACATGTAATGGAAGCGAAAAATCATTCACGGTGTTCAGTTGTATGAAAAACAACCCAACCATTCGTTAATAAATGTATAAAAAAATTTAGAATTTTAATCTTTTGACCAAATGAAGTGTGCATTCAAATTTTCTTAATTCATCGATTCATTGAATTGTTCGTGTTTACAATTAAATTTTCATTAAAAAAGAAACACATACATGCATTTCTAGTCGTTTAGGATGTTTCATGATCAATTTTGACCATTTAACAATCTAAGATTATTTCTTCAATGCTTTCAACAATTCATTGCTTTTGATTTGGCTACAATACACCGAAAATCCATATCAATCCGTTTATTGCATGTCGAATGTCATTTTCAGTGACCTTGAGTGTCACGAAACATTCTTTTATTTATGCAAAGCGGATTTTGAATTTAAGGAAAATATTTTGTTGAGAAAATCAATGTAATTAGGATTATAGTTATTTGTGCTTGAGTTAGTTTCAATTGTGCGCCAGAATAGTTTTACAATAGAATGATACGTGTTTTTTTTGTATATACTCGCAACAACGTGCGATAATTCAAAATATGCAGAAAATGTTATTTATTTATTTATTTTTGTTAGATGTACGAAGTCGACCGAATGGCGCCGATTTTCATTAGTGTAATTCATTATTTATTAATATCATAGAATGTGGCATATTACGAATTTCTAATAAAATAAAGTAATTTAGAAAAAAAAATAACATAATTGATTTTTAAAATCGAACATGAGTCAAATCATTTTATTTGATAATTTTATGTCAGATTAAATTTAATTTTTAAATGTTTATTCGGCATGCGTGACAATGTGTCGGTTTATTCAACACAAACGAAGTCAACAATCAAAGTAGAGTTTCCTTTCGCGCAACAATGTTCGGAATAAATACCGAAAATGAAGTGTTCATTCACCAAATATCGCTTAATTGCATAGAGATTATTTGGAAATGATTGTGTAAACTGTGATCCGTTTAAATTTCGCTTCATAAATTTACTTTGATTTAGTGAACAAATATTTTTGTTGAATTGCTTTCAACGTAGCATATTTAAAGTTTCGACTAACATCGAAAAGACAATGGCGTTGGGTGATAATTAAAATTAATCTTCGGCAATATTGATAAATTTTTATATTTCAATCAAAATTCATGTGTTGACAATGACGGGTGTCATTGTAGTTTGTGCCCTTTTTAGCGTTACATGAAATATATCTCCGGAACGTGTTGACCGATTTCAATGTAATTTTAACAATAATGTGTTAAATCTCGGCTGACATTCATTTTGGACCAGTTTGATATTTTTACTTAAAAATGGATTAAAATGCTATAATTTGAAGTTCTAATGGCAAAAAATATATTGGATTCGTTTGTTTTCACACTCATAGCGAAAGAAGTTTATATTCTTGCCAAAATGGTAACAAAATATAAATGTCCAACCAGATTAGTGACCGAAGCGAGCTTTCCCTTGTTTTAGATAGTTTAAAATCAATGAACTCAAGGATTTTTTTACTCTGAATAAATTCCTAATTTACAGAAAAATTATCTACCAACTATTTTCGTGTTTCAAATTTTGGTTTCGTCACTCGTTCTTCACCAGAGATTTTTTATAATATTTCAGCAAATAACAACACCAATGTTGCAAATAAATTGTTTTTGTGACATTTTTCTACATTACATTATATGTCGATGGAATAAAACTGGTTAAAATTACTTCAAATTTCAAAAAAGGCTTATTTTAATATACAATGGGTGAATCGTTGATTTCAGTTACATAATTCGCAAAATTGCAAAACAGTCCCTCTTTTTGCAATAATGTTATCGTTTTAATGAAAAAAAATGCATACTACAAAGTACAGTGGAAAACTAATAATCATATGCATCGATAACCTTTTCTGGCAAAATTGACCAAAATTATTTTTCTTTTTTAACTCTCAACATTTATTGTTATCACCTAATCACATGCAGTTTTTTACAAATCAATTTGATTTTGAAAAGAATAGACGAAAATATCCCAATGAGATTGACTTGCTTTTTTCTTCTGTAAGTTCATTCTTGACCAAATTTGTTCGTACGTTGAGAAAATTCACCACCTGATTAATCAAATTCGCGTCGTTACTATTTTGATACCATGTGATCAAAGTATTGATGCTTTCAATCAGAGTTCTTCTCCACGTAAGTCTTTTTTCGTCGAATTTCGCTTTACTTTTCTGTGAGTTAAGTTCTCTGAGATTGCACTGTAATGTTTTTCATGAATGACGTAAAACCGTAAATACAGTAAAAATGTTTTTTTAATACAAAAAGCCGATCCTTCAGTAATAAATATGAAATCAAATATAATTAACAATATACATTTCATAGAAGCATTCACATTTGAATTGTATTCATATCATAAAAAGTTAAACACACACACACACACACACATATACGTACAAAAATGACAATTATGAGATTACATTCTTCCAAATATCTTAAATTTTATCAAGATATAACGAGAAAATAAAAACAAATCCACAAATACATGAGAAGAGTCGCTGATTTTATTTAACGGAGATTGTTATCAAATACGAGCCATAATCAATACATTCAACGTCTGAACGTGTAACGTTCGACACAGGTATCGCATATAGTCTATGAATAATTTTGTATTCAGCTCAGTCTATAAGCGTTTCTCTTTTAAAACTGTTGAAATCATCACGCTTGTTTATAAATTCAAATTATTAAACTAGTCAATAAATCGAGTAATTTCGTTTTTAAGTTTAAATGTGAATTGAATTTTGTGCATCGTATTATTGAATACACAACGTCAAGTGAATCGTTTAGTCAATAGTTGTTTAATTATTCGTTGTCAACATAAAATATGAAGTATTTGATTTTTGTTGTGTGCATAATTGGGTCATTGGCTGGCAACAATTTAAGTGTGTCTAATTCAATCGAGCAAAATATCGAAAAATCAAAATATTATCGATTGACTACGGACGTTGTACCGTTAGATTATGTGATTGAATTTACCCCGTATTTCAATAATGAAAGTGGCAAAGATGCATTCACGTTTGATGGAAACGTTAAAATTACATTGAATGTCACCAAAGCCAATGTTCAAAATATCACACTACATAAAGATGATTTGGAAATTGTCGAACAGGCTTTAATCATGAAATCAATATATCCGTGGATCGTAGAGTCTGTGAACATCAGCCATACTGAATATCGTAATGAAACGCATAAATTTAGTATTATATTATCTAAACCATTGATTGAAAATCAATTGTACGAATTGCATCTGAAGTTTACGGGGAACCTAAGAACTGATATGCTCGGATTCTATCGCAGTTCATACAAAGATGGCAATGTCACAAGGTAAGCCAAATTCAACATGAATGCGTGTAATATTTTCGATTGAAATTGAAATTAAATTTGAGCTCAGGTGGTTAGCAGCAACTAAAATGGAACCAGTTCATGCCCGAAAGGCATTCCCGTGCTTTGATGAGCCACAATTCAAGGCAACGTTCACCGTAAGTGTCAATCGACCAAGTCACTATCCACCATCACTCAGCAATACACCACTTGAACGCTCGGAATATTTGGGGTAAGCGATTGAAATCGTTCGTCAAGTTTCGATTAATTGTTATGACATTTATTTTAGACCAAATTTGATTCGAGATACATTTGTAAAAAGCCCAAAAATGTCCACCTATTTGGTGGCATTTATTGTGTCTGAATTTATTTGTCGAGAAAATTCTGAAAAAACATTCGGTGTATGCTCGCGTTCAAATGCATACAATCAAACCGAATATAGTTATGATGTTGGTCAAAAAACGTTGGCCAAATTTGATGAACTATTTGATTACAAGTACAATGTTCATATGCCCAAGCTGCATATGGTTGCTATACCGGATTTTGTTGCCGGTGCTATGGAAAATTGGGGTTTGGTTACTTACCGCGAGACCGCCCTATTATATGCAGCAAATGTATCGACGGCAAGAGCTCAACAACGAGTTGGTACGGTCGTTGCACACGAACAAGGTCACATGTGGTTCGGGAACTTGGTGACCTGTGACTGGTGGTCGAACCTTTGGTATCTGAATTTATTGTTTTTGTGACATTTTTTTTTACATTTCATGGAAGTGATTCAAATGCAAATTTCGATTTGATTTTAGGTTGAACGAAGGCTTTGCAACGTATTTCGAATATTTCACAACGGCAATGGTAAAATTTACACTCAATAAATATTCATTCAAACATTCAAATGCCATTTTTAATTGAAAAAATAGATTGAGAAAAATTGGGGTTTGGAGCATCAGTTTGTGGTTGAAGAGTTACAATCGATTTTCAAAGAAGATTCATTAGAAAATTCGCATGCTCTCACACATGATGTCATTACACCAGACGAAATCCAAGACAGATTTGATGGAATATCATATAATAAAGGTGCATCAGTACTTCGAATGTTTGAACACACTTATGGAAGTGAGACATTTATTGCAGCCCTTCGAAATTATCTAAAAGCAAAGTGAGTGGCAATAAAATTGCTACATTTGTTTGTGCCATTATACAAATGAAACCAAAAAAAAAAAAAAACTTTTTTGTATGAATAGTGAATTGAGCACAGCAGTTCCCGAGAACTTATATGCAGCCTTTCAAAGTGTAATTAAGGACAATTCAAATGTTAGCGATGTCATGAGCACTTGGGTCAAGCAGGCCGGCTATCCAGTTTTGAATGTCAATGTGTTCAGCGATCGTAGAACTGTAGTAATTTCACAGAAAAAATTCCTACAGAACAATCCAAAGCACACAGATAATAGATTGTGGAGTATTCCAATAACATATGCAACGATTAACAAAAATGCGAACTTCAGTGAAACAAAAACGTCAACATTCTTATCTACAGAATCACAGCAAATCAAATTGGCAGAACCATTTGAATGGATTATTTTTAATGTACAGCAAACAGGTAATACACCATATTGACGTTTATCAGATTTTGTTGATAACAAATTTGAAGTATTTTACGGAGTATGCAATGTGATAGCATATTGATAAGACGCGTTAAGAAACGATAAACCATAAAAAGTCATTCCCAATTTTTTTTTGCATTTTACATAAATTGCTTCAAAGCAGCAACATCTCATTATAATGTTATATCTTCAAAAATTAAAGATTACCAAACAAAACTTATGATAAAATTTAATTCGAGGATTTTTCCTCAATTGTAATTACTCTATTTGAATCGTAATCATGACATACATTATGATGACTTTAATTTGAAATCATCATACTATAATTTTGATACATTTTTTTTTTCAGGTTATTATCGCGTAAATTACGATGACTTTACATGGACAAAAATTGACAAAGTATTATATGATTCACATACAAGTGTTCACATACTAAATCGTGCTCAGGTAAAAAATGATTTTCTGCCATTTGTGATCGTTCAATGAACTCAATGAAGTTTTTATGATAACTTTAGATCGTCGACGATGCATTGAGTTTATCTCGTGGTCATCAACTTAACTATGAGCAATCTTTGCATACCGTTCAGTATCTTCAAAAAGAAACTGATTACATTCCATGGGTATCGGCGTTAAATAATTTCAAATTTATTTTGGCTCGTTTTCAAAAAGATGATTCATCATTTGAGGTATGTAATTTATTTTCGATACTGTAACACTGGTGTGCTCACTGTTATGATGTTCAAATATTGCAGAATTTCGTGTTGGGTTTGCTCACAAAGGTGTATGCTCACTTGGGATTTTATCCAAAAGAAAATATTGACACTCGTCTAGACATTTACAATCGCGACCAGATTCTCGGAGTTGCTTGCAGACTGGGCCATAAGCAATGCGTTGCTGACGCACGTTCTGAGTTCGATAAATACTTACACGGCAATCATACGTAATTACAGTGATTTTATTTTGGTTTTTATTGGAAGATTTCATTCTTTTGTTAAATTCTTTATCAATTGTACGTCATACAGAATTCCAGTGAATTTAGTGCCGGTTGTTTATTGTACCGTGGTGCGTGAAGGGTCCGACAAAGAATGGGAATATTTGTGGGAAAAATTCAAAACCGAGAATGTAGCCGCTAAACAGGATACAATTTTGAAAGCATTGGGCTGTACAAAACGACCAGACTTGATAACGGTAAAAAGGCAAAGAGTTTCTTAAAACTTAAAAGTCGAAATATTTAATTCGGGATTGTTTTCAGAAATACTTTAATTACATTCTATCTGATAATATTCGTACGCAAGATAAATTGTCAGCTCTCAGATCAACGCTATCACAACAAATAAACATTGATTTAGTACTTGAATTTATCATCACAAATCACACAAACATTCTGAAAGCGTAAGTATAGCACACGGCTTCCAACTTTGATAAAAATTTCTACTAAATAAACGCCATTTAATTTACAGATTTGAATCGGAGAAAGATTTCATAAGGATTTTAACTGAAACAATTAAATTGCTCACAACCGCCGAACAAGTTGACAAAGCGGAGAAATTTGCCAAAGAACATAAATTCGATGCCAATGACAACGTACAAAAAGAATTGAAAAATGCCAAGTTTAATTTAGAATGGGCCGAACATAACATACCCAGCATTAAAAGCTTTTTAGAGAAAAACCCGGAACCTAGTGTCGCTCCAATACACACCATTTCATATTGTATCTTATTGAGTGTAGTTTTTGTTTCCATTTTTAATTAATGGCATCACTCATTAGCGTAGTTCTTTTCCAATTTGAAATAATTTCATTGGAAAATAATATAATTTCAATGTAAAATCAAATTGGCAAACAATATATGTTTAGCGAAAACTTTATTAACGATTCAGTTGAACACTGTTTAAACATGATTATTATTGTTAAAAGCACGTATAATCCAATCGATTTGAAATGATGAAGAATTGATTCAAAATGAGAAAAAAAAAGTGTCCACTTTTTACATCGATCGTAAAAGTCTTTTTGATTGATACCTTGCTCACATATAGCATCCAATTATTTCAAGCATTTAGGCTCATTTCAATTGAAAATATTTTCCACATTTAGTATTTCTTTTTCGACATATTCATATAATTTGATGTTTTTGTTTTTATTTACAAATAAAATTATGCAATTTGCTAAAATAAATTCGATTTGAACAAATACATTTCAAATATTAAATAAATTTAACGACTAAATTTCCGTTGTGTTTCTTTCCCTTTTCAAATTAAGTACAAATTCAAATGAAACATAATTGACAACAAAACCAAATGAAGTAGCAGTCTTTTCGGTTTATTCGGCAGACAATGATGAAAATTTCCAATGAATTTATTGGGTTTTGGTCACATTTCTTAGCCACTCGACGATTGTATCATAATTTTGTTCCATCCAATTGATGTTTGTTTTGATTGCTTCAACCGCTTGAGTTAAAATGCGACTCTTTTCCGTTATATTCTCTTTCATGAATTGTTGCAACTGAAAGCAGACAAATAAACGAATCATGAGATGATTTTTTGAAGTATTTTCCGAAAATTTGAGAATTTATTTAACGGTAGGTACCATAATATTAACTTACCACGGTTAAATCGAACTCTGTATTGGCATTTTTGAATACATACATAAGAATAACGTACATATTCATGGGCGGTGGTCCCAAACTGTGCAAAAGAAGAAAAAGGTCATTTAGATATTGGTGGATAGTTTTGCATGTGCAATAATGTTCCAAAATAGCTTACTAAGATTTTAAACGATCCCAGTTTAATCGCACAAAATTATAAGTGACCTGTATGCCATTTGGATGATTTGAGACCGAAACAAATACGCGAAGGAGATCTTGTTTACGGATGCCACCATTTTCAGTGGAAGCCCGTTCGAGTAAACGGGCCAAAATCCAAATCTCTTGACTGCATGCCATTGCATCTAAAAGCAGTTCTTTTTCAGTCGATACGTTGGCATTCATGTATCGATTCCATATAAACTCCCACATCTCTTCCGTACCATATTTAACAGCTGTACAATACACGACGAATCGTTCGTTTGGCGGAATACTGAAAAAAAAGATGCATTTTTTCCATTAAATTTGTGACTTTTTGGATTAATTCATTGAAATTCATTCATACTTATTTACTCGATCTGGATCTGCAGAGTCCATCCATTCTTTGAACAATTTCAAACTTCGATCTAGACAATCTTTGTAGCCCAATCGACATGCAAATTGTGTTATGTCAATTCGTTTGTACGCCAACAATGGATCATCACCATCGGGACTATTGGTTACATTATTGTATATATTTTTAATCAGACTAAACGCGTATCTCTATAAGAAACAAACAAATACATGATTAATTTGGCAAAAAAATTCGATCGATTTTATACATACTCTGAATAAATCATAGTCTGGCCCCGATGACATCATGCTATCAATAAAATTCAATGCGCTCAACGCTGACCGCCATGGAACGTACTCATCTTCATTGATCAAGTATCTTGTTAAATTCAATGCAATTTGATAGTCCAATTTACCGGCCCGTGCCAATGTTAAAGCATCATCGATTATTTGGGCACGATTTGTTGGTACAATTTTTGAATATGTCCGCGGATTTTGTAGATAATTTGCCAAAAGTTGCCAATTTGTTATATCATAATTGACGCGATAGTAACCTAATTTTAAATGGAAAATTTGCCATTATAAACTTTTTTTTTTATTTGAAGTAATGACGACTGAAAATTACCTGTGCCTTGAAGATTCACAATGATCCATTCATCGTTGGTGATATTTTCAAATTCTTTCGCAAATTTTTCCGAACCACGAATCCAATCTTTTGGTTTGGTATTATTGAAATCGGCCTCGTTGGCTGTGGTATAACTAAGTGGAATCCACCATAATGCCTCATCGTACTTGATTTGCAATGATTTCCATTGATTTGGTGCAATGAATGTGAAACGACTTTGAGCGAATTGAATTTGTTGTGTGGTATAGTTTCTTGTGACATTCACCACTGGAAAACCCATCTGTGTCGTCCATGTATTCATAATTTCCTTAACATTGGTCAAATTATCAAATATATGACTCTCGTGGGCTGACTTTGTTAAATGCTCCCACAAATCGTTTTGGGTCGCAACCTGATAGGTTCGATCAGTTAAATACGAATGTAATCCATCGCGAAATACTTCGGTGGTTAAAAAGTGTTCCATCATTCGAATTATTGCAGCACCTTTGCCGTATGAAATGCGATCGAAAATTTCATTGATACTGTCTGGATCGTGAACATGTACCGATATTTCATGTGAGGACGCTAATGAGTCTAAAATCAATACCGGTTGCACTTCATTGCATAAAAATTGATCCATTGCCTTCCATTCCGGCGTTATCATATTTGCGCCCACATACTCCATATATGATGCAAATCCCTCATTGAGCCATAAATCGGACCACCAAGATGGCGTTACCAAATTTCCGAACCATTGATGTACTAATTCATGAGCAATAATCGTTGCTACGCGCTGCTTGTTCAATGGTGCCGATACTTTTTCATCGTGCAACATTGTCACCTCTCGGAATGTTACCAGACCCCAGTTTTCCATCGCTGATGCATTGTTTCAATCATTAAAAGAAATTAATGTTTTGTATGATTTTTTTTTTTTTTAATTAATTACCTCCAGCGCCAAAATCGGGCAGTGCAATCATATCGATTTTTGGTAGTGGATATTGAATTTTGAAGTATTTTTCGAAAAAATCTAATATTTTTGGTCCCACTTGTAGTGCATAGCGTGCAGATTCAAGAGCCTCAGGGCGTGTCCACACACTGAACCTTCCATTGGTCATATTTTTAAAATCCGATACAACAAATGCCAACAGATACGTTGACATTGGCACCGATTCCATAAATTCATCCCAAACGTAGCCACTTACATCGGATCTGTGTGGTATTGAAGACATAAAATCGGATTAGATACAGAATAAAGAGGCTCATGACACAGTGTATATATTTACATTTCCGAGGATGTGTTGATTTTGGGCATATTTGACAATGCCACCATGTTCATCGGTCGAGCGATCCATATTTTGAATTTTGCCTTGTAAGCGGGCTCATCGAAACAAGGAAACGCACGTCTAGCATCCGTTGGCTGAAATTGTCAGAAGATGATAAAAGGTATGCATCATTTACAAAAGACAGACATTTTACCTGAAATTGTGTCACGGCTAGCCATCTGTTCCGAGTAAAAAAAAATAATCATAAAAACAACTGAAGTAATTAGTAATTTTTATGCAAGAAACAAAACAAGAATCGTGACAAACGAATGTTTGCTTGAGCAAGTAGTGTATAGTTCTGACAGTTCACAATAACAAAATGAATGACATGCACACGTATCTGAAATTGCTCGTATACAATCAAAGAGCCGAGCACTTTCAAACTATACAAATAATACATATTAAATTATGCATGAGAGCTCCACAAGATGAACTTGTGAGCGTCCAAATGCAAAAAAAAAATTAACCATCCCAACGGCAAGCACACATGAAATGCTATTCTGCTTGAAATGACCGGCTATTTCATACATGATTTGACTCACCGTGTTACATTGTTGACAACATACGAACTGCGATAGAATCCTTGTAGAATATCATTCAAAATGCCCGTGTATTTAATGCGAATTTCATAAATCATGTTCGATTCGAGTTCCGTTGGAAATTCGATGACATAGAATTGATCGGGTTCGACGGCATGTTTATCGGATATTTCAATTTCGGTTCGACTATTTTCGTCCGTTTGCGTTGTGTTATTCCCAATTTTCCACACGTTTACACTGCTTATTTTCAAAGTTGTTGCGTGCAACGTTATATTTTTGCAGCTTTTCGTAACATTTACTTTAATTGTGACATCACCGTTGAACGTAAAATTACCCTCACGCAAAAATGGCATCAATTTCAATTCATAGTGAAGTGGATGCATTGTCTTCGGCAACCGTACATTTGTTCGATTACTTCGATGTAAATCCTCTTCAAACGGTATAATTTTCTTGATATCATCGGCGGATTGTGTATTATTTATCGCTATAGTTAGGGGAATAACATTCTTTTTGGCGCAAACTTCTGATTGGACGTTGATATTCGAACAAATACCGAAATTGTATGTTATCAAAACGGCGGCACACAATAAAAACATGAAAATTGCTATCGTTACGAATACTACTAATCGGGTCACAATAAAACCATCATTTGGCACTCCATCCCTGTTGCGATGATTCTCTTGCTTCTGCACATCCTCCAATTCCAAGTCATCCATTTGATCTTGAGATCTCATTGTAGACTTTGGACAATGGCTGATGAATGAAAAAAAAAAAAAAAAAAAAAACAGAAAGAAAAGTGAAAATGATGACACATCCAGTGAGTATCTGTTGACAATAAAGGCAATGAACGAATGTATATTGTGTTACTGCGGACGAAATTCAATACAAGAATCGGTTCTCTACTTCCTTGGCTTTTTATTCACTACATTTGCCGACTTTTGCTATTGATTTTGTCGTTTTCTTATAGCTTCTTTGGATATCATAACATATCATACATGCACATTATTGAAAAGTTAATAACCATATGCAATTAATAAGGAAATCCCTTGTCAATTGTAAAACAATCGATGAATTATTATAAAATTAGCTATAATATTGAATGAAATTGGATAGTGGTCGGTATATGATGTCGGTGGTCAATTTGCACTCTGAATAATAAAATTAAGGGACCTTCTGATTGAGTCTATTATGTGTTTGTTACGTCAATGGTATGGCATGATTCATAGTTTAATAAAGTCGATATCGCATTTTAATTTAAAAAGAAAATAACACAATTTATTGTCGCGGCACTTCAATATAATTGAGCGAAAATTTAATTTTACTACATCATTTCCTTGTGAGCTTATGGTTTTATTTTCCTTATTCAACATATACATGTGTATTATAGCGAACATGTTCGAAAAAATGAAAAGAAGACCCGAATTCATCAAAATTTTATCGTTTTTGAATGGGGCATAAAATGAAAAAAAAAGACTAGAAAAATAGCAAATGAAAGAAAAACGGTATTTTGTATGAAATTTCACCAATAAAAAGCAAAAGTGTCAAGAGGTATCTAAAAATAGGTAGAATTTTTGTTGATGTTATTGTATTTACAATTTCAATGCTAAGCATCTTGGATGCGAATTTGTAGAAAAATCCAGTATCTACATACGATAATGACAGACAAGTGGATTTGAATAGAATAATAATAAAATCGTGTATGATAGTTTTTGTTGTCGAGGTCAATGTTTAACTCGACTGAAATGAATAAATTGCTTTGTATAAATTCAATAAATATTCGCCGAAAAATTAACAAAAATTAAAAAAAAAAAAAAATGAGAGACAATCGATTGCATTCATTCGATTTCATACAATGCTGTGTTTTTTTTGCCCTGTTGATCTCGGTGCGCCGGTCCACAAACGACGACATTTAATTGTTTTGTTTAATTCAATGGACAAGACTCAAGCATCGAATTTATAGAATTAATAGATAAGACGGAATATACAAAATGCGAATTAAATTCAATCGTACGTTAATTAACTGTTTTCATCTTCTTCTTCGATAAATATCCGAACAAAAAAATTGCCATTGAAATGCTATTCAATTTATAACAGTATAAACAAATTCAATGGGAGAAGAAAATAATTTGTCACTTTACAACCGCCCAATTTATATTCTGTTTGCACAAATGAGAACATTTATTTCTCACATTTCCCGTTTGTTCATCTCTTTCTCTACTTGTGCGTGTTTCGACTAGTGCGTCATAAATAACACAAGCACATTTTGAATTCGGACGATTTGATTCACCTTTGGTGAAATTATATGCTCGGCCACAATAAATTCCAAAGATTTCATTATGTTCTGTTGAGTGTCTTTGAAGTGGTTTTGATTAGTGCTTTCATTGTCACCGATTGAATGCATTCAATTTTCTAGTTTAATTAATGAATCCATACATATATCTGATACAATAGAATGTTGTATAAGTAAAACGACCAGAATCTGCATATGCACATTGAACTATCGAAAGCACATTTTTTTTTGTCAAGTACAAAGTGGACTAGAGTTGACCTATGTGTGTGTGTGTGTGTGTGCGTGTAAATTACGAGAAATCATCAAATCAAGAGAAAAATAATTATAAAATTGGATATGAAATATGTGAAAAATTTCGGAACGTCCCTTCGTTCGATTTACGATGAATTTCATTGCGAGACCAATGTGCGCACGTTGGTTTTTTTAAAATAACGGATGTTCAAAATCACATGGTTTTGAAAAAAAGTGCATTTGAAGAGGTAGATTGAAAGAAAAAAATCATTTGAACTTACATTTTTCCAAAACAATACGACTTTTTCCGTATTTAAACGATTTCGCGGAATCTTATCAATTTATCTGATTTTCTTTTCGTCCGATACGTACAGAAATTTACGGCAATGTAAAAAGTTTTTAAAATAAACGTTCACAGATCGGATGAAAATGTAATATGTAATTTTCAAAGACAAAATTGCACAAATCTTAAATTCTAATTTCAAATTTAAAACAAGAAAAAAAAAAATATATTTAAAATTGCGTATTGCCGTTAGCACGCGTAATTTATACGAAACAAATTCACTGGATGATAAAAAAAATGTTTCTTCAAAAATAAGTGGACTGACACAAGACGGCTTGTTGGCTAAGCAAAACTCAACACCTAACTGATATTCATAATTGAACAAGCGATAGCAAAGGAGCTCTAAGTGTTATGTCGGTGACTGAGCGAATCGGAAAAAGACTGAAATGTGGAAGAAGAAGAAGAAGAAGTAGGAGACCGAGATGTGCGAAAATTGTTGTTCAAGATAACAATAATAATCATAATAGCAAGTGACTGCAAATATCGGTTTATTCTTCTTGTGTTTTATTCAATTTTCTTTCTGCGGTCGATGGTGGTGCTGTTGTTGTTGGTATTTCTCGTTCTTGCATATAAATAATATTCTTGTTGTTTTGGCGAATTCGTTCATTGTCTAGCAAATTATTGTTGTACTTACACACAGAGCGCTGCGAGTCTCGTGCAACGCATAGTGCCTTTCGGTTTGCTGTGCCATACTTGATGTGTGTGAGGCCTCACAATAAAGCCATTTGATGGTGGTTTTACACAGCCCAAACGCTTTGAAAACATACACACAGACACCGCATGTATTTGCAATCACATTTCTCATAGATTGTATGGCATATGGAAATGATGCTTATTTGTATACACTTTGTAATTGCCTTAATGGTGAATTGCTTATCTATGCTTCAATAATTCGGTCGATCCTTTTATCAAAAATGATACTTAACATACACGACATTCGGCCATTCGAAAATTGTATTTATTATTGTGCCATAAAACTCCGCGCCAAATATTCAAGTACAACAAGTCAATGTGACTAACAATACCAAATCAAATAACAGCCGCAACACAATGCACCAAGTCAAATTATAACAATTGTAAATTGTATTTTTCAATTTATCACCCGACATTGTTACATTGTTTTGATATTTGAAACGGATAAAATACATTTAAACGACGAATAAAATGGGCGAAAAAATGAATTTGATTACAATGCCAAATCCAATACTCATTTCAAATAAAATGTCTCGATCAATTGTTTTTGAATAACTAAAATTTTGGTCTGACTTAAGTAAGTGACCAAAAACACAAAACCTCAATTGAATCGTATCTTGTCTTACTGAACCTTTTTTTTTTAAAACAAAATTAATTTAAGCATTTGCTAAAATATTGTTCATTTTTGGCATATTATTGTGTGAAATTGAGTTTGGGCCATAAAAATGACTAGACATCCAAAATGTTGATGGTGTCATTTTTAGATGTGAATCTTCTACATTCAAGCAAATTAAAGCCTTAGTGCCCGTCAGGTCTTTATAATTAAAAAAAAAAACATTTAAAATAAAAAGTGAATGTGTGAAGGCAAGGCTGTGATTTTCGGAGAATTATTTAGCAAATCGCGTCTAATAAAATCAATCAATTTTTTTATTCCTTTTTTGTGTTTTATTAGCGCGTTAATTTGAACGATATGTATGTATTAGCTGAAAAATCTAGTACAACACTGCTGTAGTAAAACAAAATCATAGAAAACATCGGAGTTTGACACAAATGTGTACACAACAATCAAAATCAAAGAAATTTTTGGAAACAGTGAAAAGAGCCAACAATTTGAAAATGCAATCGTTTGCCAGTGTTTTCGTAACAGTTGGAACGACACAATTTGACGATTTGATCGATGTCATTCTTACCGATGATGTGTTGACGTTGCTGCAACGTATTCAGTGCAAATTATTGAAAATACAATACGGAGCGGGGAAGCAAATCGATTCCACAACGATAGATCGAATTGAACGAAAATTTTCAATAAAAATTCAATGTTATGATTTCAAAGCGAACATTTTGGCTGATATAACATCAAGCGATTTGGTGATAAGTCATGCGGGCGCCGGTAGTTGTATCGAGGTACTTACGTCGAAAATACCGCTGATCGTTGTCGTCAATGACCAGCTGATGCACAACCATCAAACAGAATTGGCACAACAGCTCTTCAACGATTCTCATCTATTGTACTGTTCGCCATCAACACTGACTGAAACACTCGACGACATAGGCAGAAAAGTGTCATCACTAAAACCATACGAAGCGGGCCACAATAATATGACAAAATTCGTAAACCATTTGAGTTCATTGATGGGATTTGAATAAAGAAATTAAAATTGAAGAAAAAAAAAATCTTGTTTTTTTGTTTATCGTTGTTTTGAAGCTAGATCTTTATTTAAACTTTGTTTTAGCTGCAATGTTGCAGTCATGGGAGGTCGGAAATACAATTAATCCATTGTTGTCTTTTTGATTATACATTCAATTTAGGTTTTTTTCATTTATTTGACAATAACATGTGATTTGATATAAGTAATTATGTACTGAGTAGGTAGCAATTAGATTTTTGGTTTTTTCTTCCATCACTTTTTTTGTATTGAATGAAACAAACGACTTCTTTTTTTTCTTTTGTTGTTGTTGACTAAACAAACATTTTGAAAACAACCGTAACGTATATTCTGATAGTGTTGGTTTGTTTTTTCCTCTTTAATTTTTGCTAATATATTCTCTGAACTGATGGAGAGTTTTTGTATAGAATGAACAAGCTTAAGTGAAGATGCAAGATTTTCTTTGTTTATATTTTATTTAATTTATGATGTAGCAATGGTTGCTATCAACTTGAGAATATGAATTTATTCGCCTTCGGCGGCATTACTGCTTTGTTCCAGAATGATATCGAATGCGAATGGTTGGAAGGCATAACCTTGTCCAGCGTAGAATTTACTCTGGAATTCGACCCTAAAATGAAATTGTTTTTAGTTAATGTTTTTTTTTTCGTTTGGCTGAGAAGTCTCGGTTATTCAAACTTACCAGTGCAAACGAAGTGTATGCAAGAAGGCTGAAAGACCTTCCATCAACACCAAAATGCCAATGGTTAGAACTCCCCAGAATCCAAAGATGAACCAAAGTACAACACCACCATACCAACTGTTGATGACCAAACCTTGACGAAGAACCATATTCCATAATACTTCAGCAAGTTCTAAAGAGATAAAAAAAAACGGGGTCACACATGTTTGATTACTTGCCATCCGTGCAAATGCTATTGATGTGTAACTTACGTGCATGGGCTAAAGACAATGCCCACAAACGTAAATAGGATGCAGTATGTGAAACTGAGCCCAATACGTATTCAACGGTATGAATTCCTGAGTGAATGAAAATTTCTGTGATGTCTTCTTCATCATGGCCGTGTCCTTGAGGTTGTTGCACTAAACCATCAGCATTTAGGCCAGTTTCTGCATCACCATTACCAACTGGCTGGTGATCAATTGGATGATGCTATTGAAAGAAAATTCAAAAGAAAAAAAAATGATGACCTGTAACCTGATTGAAATCATTTTGCAATGCTTACCATAGCCTCTTTTCGACTTCTCATAATATGAACTGGTTTCGATAGCAACATCCATGGTACACACAAAAGTGCGCCCACCACAAGGATTTGCTGAAGACCTCTTTGACCCCAAAACATGTATGGACTGCATTCATCTTCACCGTCCGGATACGGTGGATTTTTGAATAAAACCATATTTATAAAGGTAATTAGAATGGATGGTGCACAATCACTGCTCCATGGATGTGGATTTGCTGCAGCATATTTGAACCATTTAATGAACATCAAAAGAGCCAAATAGAAGAATAACGCAATCAAAAAGAATATTTGTGGTGCAAATGCTGTGATCACCGACAAACGATCATTGAAATAGCGATAATTGCGCAGGCTCATTATTACACCAAATATCATGTGAATCACACCAAAAATGATGGAAATTTTCATTTTGTAACCATTGTGGAAAATGATTTTATTGGAAGGTGCCACTTGCCAAATTGGATCCATACCTAAAGTGACCAGAAAAAAAATAAATGTAACAATTATATCGGAGTTTTTTTTAGAAAAAAATTAATAAAAAAAAAACTAGTAGAGAAATTTGATATTCCATACCAAATGGATACGCTGAATTGGCGAAACCTTCCTTTGGATCCAGTTGCAAATCGGGATTCGTCATTACTGTCGACGCATTGTACGGTATATTCCAATTCGAACCAAATATGTTTAGAGATTTGGAGAAGATATCATTGTAAATAAGACCCGTGTACATAGAAAACGCACCCATCAAAAAGATAATGTATCGACCGCCAAAGAAAATGTTCCAGATCTGAAACAACGAATGTATGAAACATCAGCAAAATATGGATTATTTGAAGAAGAAAGAAAATCGGTATTTCTCACCTCGTTATCACTCTTTTGTGCTGCCAATGGTTTCTCCTTTAAAATCATCCAAAGTCCAAACAATGCCATTATCGTACCATGTCCAAAATCGCCAAACATCACGGCAAACAAGAATGGAAACGTGATTATTGTATATGGTGCTGGATTCATTTCACGGTAACTAGCCACCCCATAGGAATCGATGAGAATTTGAAATGCTTTTGTAAATTTATTCGTACGATTATAAGTCGGTGGATTTTCGAATGTTTGCATTCGATTTAAGATCGGTGGTACTGATGAACCGGAACGTTCCTATGTGCGAAAAATTCATTTCATCAGAATAACGCAAAAAAAAAAACTTTTTTCATTTAATGTTTACCGTTCCACGACGCAATGCCAATTGAATGGTTTCGGTGTCGAGTAATGGCACCCAGCATTCAGCAATCAAACACTTTTGTGTAACGTCCAAATTGAAGAGATTCAGCGTGTGATAGATGGCCTTTATTTTGCGAACCTTAACAAACCAATCTTTAAGCTTTTTGGCAGCGGCAACCAGTACACGACGACGATGATCTTGCGTTTGTCCCAAAACCGTATTCAAATCTTCGATACGTGTCATAACACCTAGAAATAATCAGAAGAAAAAAATGGAATTAATGGATAGTAATTTTTAAGTAAGTATGCCTTGATTCTCACCCATGGCCATTTCACGACGATCACCCGGCGCTTCTGGGCATGGATACAATGTGGCACGGAAACCTTCGCAAATCTTCTTCACGCGCGTTTTTAATTGATCACCTTGGAAAAAGATGATGAACACCGATTTGTAGACATTATCACCCTAGAAATAGAATAGAAACACACGAAAAATTGTTAATATCAATTTAATTTGGTGACCAAAACATAATTTACGTACATTTGCTGGATCTTCCAATGGCTGTTCAATCATTGCTTGACGCAAAAATACATTACCACGACACGCACGCCATAACATTCGTTCAAAGGCTGGCAAACGTTCACGTAAAATAACTCCGGCAACAAAACTATAGGTGTTAATAATATTATGGAATAAAAAATATTAAAAAAAAAACATGGAATGGATAAACGAATCGAGTCGTTAGCATATGCGTTCCAAAAGCAAGATAAAACATAATTTAATATCAAAAAAGAAAATTATGGAAAACGAAACGTGGTTATCATATTTTATCAAGCAATAAAAACGCTAAAATTTCAATTACAAAGTTAAGTGTGGTCAAAATTAATGATTCAATTCGATAATGAAATTATTGTTTTGTAGTTTTATGATTGGTTTCTAATGCGGTTTGTTTTGTTGTTGTTGGTAGTTTTTTTTTTTTGGTAAATTCTATTTTAAAGAAGAGCTTCAAAGGTGTGAAATAAATAAAATAACTGCAAGCTTTTATATTTGTTCTGAGGCTCTGATTTGAGGTGCTTAAATTAGCTAGTATATAAAAAATAGACTGTGTGAACCATAAATGAGTTGGCTGATAGACGATTTAAATCGTATTATAATATCATAAACAATAAAATACTTTCTATACGTATCTAGTTTCGAATAGTCTTTAAAAATGCACATTTTAATAAAAAAACCCGTCCAATTTTCTTTTCGTTCTTGTTTCATTTGTGTTTGAATTGCGTTTTCACATATTGATTTTCAATTCTTGAATTTAATCAATAAAATATGTCTTATGCTTAATTTAAATTTATGTAAGCTTAAGTTATTATAAACATTCAAAATGCAAGACTAACGAGAAAACTCACAAAATTAAAAATCTTGATTTCGTTTAAAATTTTGAAAGCAATTTAGCGAATATCAAATTCAAGCCATTCAAAGTTAAAAATAACAACAAGTAATAATAGATAGTAAACGATTCGTAAAAAAATAGAAAATATTAAATAGAAACATTGATTTCTAAAAAATCGAGAGAGAGAGAAAGAGAAAAACTATAGCAAATTCAGCATACATATGTCTGAGTTGAAAAGAAACACACATTACAATGGTAAAAGAAAACACAACACATGGCCTATAATGGCAACAATGTACGATATGAGTGTAATAGCTAGAAAAACTCAACACCACACAAAATCAAATGTAACGATGTGCTTTCAAAAACAAAACATATTTCAAACGAAAAAGAAAAAACTATACATGAAAAGAAATGGTTATATGAGGAAAAAAGTGTTTTGTTTGAATTAAAAAGAAACAAAAGCAGGCATCATCCATAGACATGATTTGATCGGTTTGGTTACACGATATCATCCATGATTTGTTTTAATGTTTTGCAACAGCAATGACATCAGTTCAATTCGAGAAGCAGAACTGAATTAAAATAATGTTTTCTGGCATACACGCAACAATCTCTATTTATTACTCTAAAGTTCATATATATATTAAATTTTATTTTCATTGAAATGGAATAGATTTTATGCTATGTAAAACAACGAATAAATAAAATGTAACAAATAGATATGCGAATATTCACGAAACAACGGGCAACAAAAAATTTTACAATATTTGTTACTGACCATGGAAGATACTCTTCAGCATCCTGTGGCTTATCCAGGAAACTGTGTTGAACGAAAACGTTTTTAGTTGTTGGTTTTTTTTTATTGCTTTTGTTCATAGGTTCTGACATAGTTCGCATAGGTCGCATAGGTGCATTGACCCCCCCTAGCGCCCGAGGACCCCCTCTAAAATTTTGAGAAAATATTCGATTTTCCTGGGGTTTTTCACAAGGAATAAAATTATTCCATTTTGCTATAGTTCTTTCGGCTGGGGACCCCCCGTCGATTTTCGGCCGTGACCCCCTAAGTTTTGTAGTGTCAGAACCTATGCTTTTGTTGTTCAATTATGGAAGTTTATTAAATATGGAAGTTTTGAAAATATGAAAATAGTTTGAGTTTAGATTCAATAGGAAAATACATTTCGAGTGGACATTTCCGATGACGATGTTATTGGCATGGTGATTATGTGTGTTTTGATATGAGAAAAATTTATCATCGGTCGATGAGTGAATTTTTTTTTTTGGAGAAAAACAGAAAATGTTGTACATATGAATCTGATTTGAAAATTAGCGACTTTCAATCGAATAAATGGTACATCAATGAATGTAGAAAAAATGAGCTCCGAAAAATTGGTGTTGGTTTAATTGGAAGAGTTAGAGTGTGAGAAAAGAGAGAAGAGAATAAGAACAAAATCGATTTTCTTCTGGCTTAAAAAATACAGTTTGTTTGGTTGGATTTTGGTTCGTTGATTTAATTTGGGATTGTTTTTTTTTTCTTGTGTTTGTGTGCAGCGTATGAATACCTACCCAAGCTGAACGGGTCCCATTGAATGTGCACCTCTGGATTCGTCGGTTATTAATGCTCTCGTCATTGATTCAGTGGCACCAAAACCACCTTCTTGCTATAAGTTGGTAATATGTTAAAAATATATAAAGAAAAAAACGTAAAACAAAAAGATTGGATTCGTCCAATGGCAAATAATTAAACAGAATCTTCATTTTTGTATCGATTTTTCAGTGTTTTAAGTGTCTAAAATTGTGACTTAGTTAGAAAATAACGTTAGTGCGCTATTTGATTATCAGTCGGAATATGGTATATGAGAGACAATTTTCTTTTTCCTTATTTAATTTCAAGCAAACACACACTCTTTATTATTAGGCAATTTATATACTCTATGGCCAAAATTGTTTTTCACAAAATTATGAAAATATATTTGATTTATAGTCATTTCCACAAAATTTAAAATTGAACTTTTCCATCGTTTCTGAGCACATTTAAAAGGGGTATATATACAAGCCCGAAGTAAGTGAAATCATCTACTGAAATTATGGAATTTTTTTCTTTTATATATGACTTTATGAGAAATGAATGTAGAATTAAAAAGAAACCAACTAAAGAATTCACTAGAAATGAAATGAGCGAAATCAACAAAAAAGGGAGAACTCAACGGAAAAATCAACGAAAATGAAAATTTTAGGACACATTTGGATTCTATTCTTTTTCGTGGAAACAAAAACTTTTACATCGTATTTACATTGACTCGAAGAAGGGGGTAGAAAACGAAAATACAAATACAGCTTTTGTGAGATTAATTTGTTGTAAACTTGTGCAATTTTAACGACACTATTAATTGAACGCATCGTTATAAACAGACATTGTTATGAATATATGTAAGAAAAAACTAAACGTACGCTAGATTGTTCCGAAAAATATATAATATATACAAAAAACCCAAAAAATATTAAAATTATCCATTACCAAAGGCCGTAAACCAATTTAGTAATTGCTTTAATACAAATTTAAAAAAAAAATCAACTCAATCTCGTATATCAAAACTACATTTGTATCGACAAACACATTATGTTTTCTACAAGTTTTAGAAACAAGATTGCGACACATAGAGAATTTATACGTGCATACGTTAATTTTTTGGTATTAATGCTTTCATCCATTGTATTTTTTTTTTAAACTCACATTGTTTTCCAACATTTTCTTTTTCTCCAAAACATTTTCTTTTTTACGAATAACCAAGTCAACAATAAAAATATATATTTAAAAAAAATCCGTATTTCACTCGTTTTGAAATTCCACGTGTATGATTTTAATCCAATATTAATGGAAAATCATTTGAAAGAGTAAAAGGATTAATTTGTTTGTTTGTAATATGTCATTATATGTGTTGTGCAGTTTTGTCATTCGTTATGTAATGAGGGTTTTGCTTATCAGTTAAATAATGTTTATTGTATCGAATGGGTGCATATAATATGTGCATTTTTAAATTCAATTCTGAGAGTTTTTTTTGTTTTTGATATTCATTTCTTTGTTTGCTTTAAGCTTATAAAATAGATCTACTTATCACAAAATAGAAGAAAATATACGGTTCACACTAGCCTCAGTATAGTTAGTTTGGATTTATAGTCTCTTGTTCACACACACATTGCATGTGTTTGTAACTAACTTACATACTATTACAAAAAAAAAATACATTGGCTTCAAGTTAACTGTTCATTTCTAATTTTAATGAATTTAGTCAGTAAATTGTTAAAAAAAATGTAATTTTTAATTTTCAGAAGAAAAGAATTATCGAACTCATTTGAGATGGTTTTTGTTTATTAGCACGTCGATTGCAAATCATTCATTAGCTTAATATTAAAGAAAAAAAAACACGATATGTTTTACAATAGTACAATGTTCATTCCACAAACAATCGCTTGCCTTAGACGATTTCGAATTTGACCGGTAGATACGACAGTTGGATTGTCTGTGTCAACGACATCAGAGGTGGTCAGAGCTGATCTCTGTAATTTCAGATTGTTCGATTTGTTTTTTTATGTAAAAAGAAATAAAATGATGATTTTCTGGAATTTTTTTTTGCTTTTCTGCACACAAAGTGTGAGAAATAAAAAGATTATTGTTAAAATGCTTGATCATATCGATATCAAGTATATTAATATATGTATTCATTGGCAAGGGGAGAGCAATGTTAGAATAAAACGCCAGCATATTCACAACAGACATTGAGTTAGAAAAGTTGCAGTGATTGTATTCCATTGAATTTTTTTTATTTTTGGCGATGGAATATATTCGACTATAGCAACAACATATGAAAAATGTGCAGAAAATAACGACAAAAACCAATTAGCACAACATATTTACAAATATTCATTGGATGATGTGCGACCAATGGTTCAATCACTTTTTAATTGAAGATTTTCCCTGCTTTCGAGTTTCATTTTAGAAATTTAATAATTTTTTTTAATCTGACGCTTTTTGTTTGTTTATCGAAAAAATTCGTTTATTTCATAATCAGTCTTCTTGTAAGTTCTTAACTTTGTATCGAAATTGAATTTCATTGGAGACAGAGAGACAAAAAGAAATGATAATTTTTGGATGTGTTTAAAATGTATTGTAAACAGTTTGTTTTGTGAATATTTACCCAAGTTTAAGATTTTGAGCTTGTGCACCTCGTATATCCTCACCAAGCAGTTGGACCTGTTCCTCTTCTTTGTGCGCATCCGCCATCTGATTATAGCGGACTCGTGTTATTGATTTTGTTGGTGCTGCCTGGCAACACAACCGAAAACAATTGTTTTTTTTTTTTTTGTTCTTTTTTTTGCATTTTTCGACCCCCTAACACCTGACTCTAGCCTATACATTTTCGTTTATTTGCTCTCATTGATTTGATTGGGATTTAATTTCATTTTCTTTTTTTTTTGTATCTATTCATCAATGTGTTCACACACATAACGGATGATCACTGCAGGCATGTCGAGTGTCATCACACGGAAATTCGATTTCGATTACGTTTTGAGATTTGGATAAATTTTGACAGAAAAAAAAATTATCCAACTAATAAAAAAAAACAGATGCCTAACAAGATAGAAGTTTTTGATATTCAAAATCACACAGAAAAAAAACTATGAAAAATGAAAACTAAAACTCACTGAATTTTAAACGAATTTCTTTTTTTGTATTCTGATTTCTAAAGAGAATCATCGAATTTTTGGGCATAGAAAAAAAATAACAGTAGAACACGAAAATAAAATCCCATGGAGTTAATGAATTAAAACTCAAGGATGCAAGCATTAAAACTGTTCGCAATTTTTACCTACAAACTACTACGCACTCGTAACAAAATTGAAAGTTTTTTTATTGAAAGATAATAAAAAAAGAGTAAACCAAAAAAGAGACGTGAAAAATTAAAAACACATAGGGAAATTAAACTACAGTGTCCGGAAAAAAACATGCTGTCAATTCATATTAATTAGTGAGGATAGGGAGAACAATAAACACTCTGCTCATTGATATGACTGTTTTTTTTTAGTAAATTAAAAAGATGAGAAAAATGGGGTCTGCTTGATTCTCATCTTTGATTTGTATTAAACTTACAATCTAATTTATTTTTTTTACTCATAAATTACTTAAACATTTAAGGAAAAAATAAATTAAAATAAAACTAGAATGAAGACCGAAAATATTTGTGTGTTTTATGTATCAGTGCCGTGTTTTCGATCATAATTCGAATAGATTCGGTCTTCATTGGACTTTATTGATATAATGAGGGGCGGGGGAGGAGTTAATGCCGGTATTCAACTATTTAGGTGTCAAAGCATTCAAACTACCGAATAATTGGAAGCAACTTATTCTGTGGCTCGCGTGAATTATGTAATATAATTAAGCGACAATGGTACTACATATGTATTTAAAAGTGTTTTTTTTTTTTCACAGTTTTAGCGACGAAAAGTCCACATCTAATTTACGGATTGTGTGAACACACCGTGAGTGCATTTGAAAACGATACTTTATTGGTGATGTTTTTTTTTTTATTACGAAGTTATTCAAGGATTTAGAGATATACACGAAAAATGGAAGAAGGTTTTTTAAAAATATTTATCACCGAAATCATCACATTTCAGCAGATTTTAATTTATGTATATGTCGTTGTTTAAATTGTTTGTTTTTGTTTTTTGCTTTTAGAGTTAGGTGAATAAAGTTTATTTACACGCATACACAGGAATAAAAAAAAATGATTAAATAAATAAATAAATAATAATAACAATTTACAACATTCATGCCAAGCCATTTAATTGCATTCGAAATCAGAGTATTGCTCAGCGCTGCTGCCATCCACAGCATATTAAAATATCTTGCTGAGAATGCGTCGTCCGTCGCATGCGAAGGTACGTAGCAGTTTTTACATCACAGTGAACAAGAATGTATGCATTGTTCTCTTCACGATTATGTGACTCAAAACATTCAAACGATTGATTAGAGAACAATGCATGTATTGTTGTTCGCTGTGATATAAAACTGCTACCTACCTTCGCATGCGACAGACGACGCATTCTCAGCAAGATATTTTAATATGCCGTGGATGGCAGCAGCGCTGAGCAAAACTCTGAATGAATTTGAATCGTTTTGGTAATCATTCCCATATTTGCCAAATACAAATGTGAAAATAATAAACAAGTCAAATTAATAAATTTCTTGGCTCATTTAACGGCTTAGCTGAAGTATTGTGCGGTGGGCGGATGGGAAATAAATAATAAATAAATAGACTTAGGACAAAATATTTAAATATTATGAAATAATGCTTCAACTGCATGATATCAATAGCATCTAATTTAAAAGCATTTATCTTAACATAATATAGTCAAATTTTGTTGTTGTTGATTTTTTTGGTACTGGTTTTTTGTGTGGTTTTTATTGATTTTTTTTTTTTTTTTGGTTGCTTGGTTTAATTTCATTTAACTACAAAAGCAAACTATGTGTGTATATTGAAACAAAAATGATAAAAAAATGCACATCAATTTATAGCACCTTAAAAATTACACGTGAAAATTCGTTTTGTCGAATATTTTTCAATTCGATTTGATTTTTTTTTTTAAATCCAATTTTCGATACGTTTCTAAAGGGCAAAAACCAAAGAAATTTCGGTAATTTTTCGTTGTTTACTTTTCGTTTTGGAAGTGATTTATTTTTTATATTTAATATGTCTCTCTTTTCGTATCAGTGTTGTATTGAGAAACGAATTTTTTTACTTAGTATTTGGTTTTGTTAGAAAAAGAGAAGAGAAAAAGAAATGTCGCAAAGCACATAAGGTGTGTTATTATTGTAAAGTAAAAAACAAAAATGAATGTATTGTCCAAGTGTGTTAGTCGAATCGATATTCATCTATCATTTCATCTTCAATTACATTTCAAATCATTTGTCACGATGTAAAAAATTGTGTGTCATTAAAAAAAAAACGTAAAGAGATTTCCTCCGTTGAAACAAACCAAGAAGAAAATGTATTTTCAATTTTGTATTATATTGTAAATAATTTGAAAATGAAACGAAAATATAAAATATGAATGGTTTTTGATGTGTTAACCGAAACCCATGTGAAGAAGAGAAAAAAATATTTATATGTGTGAAAACTAATGAATGGAATGATGTGTTAATGAATGACAGAAATGATTTGATTGATAAAGAATTAAATGAATATGTTGACGAATGAGAGATTAGGAATTAAGAGTATATTGCATTGTGGGCATCGTAATCGATGGAAATTTATACATAGTGAAAAGGCGTTTTCGATTTAAATAGAATCGTTGTTATTCCATATTAATACACAGAATAGTTGTTCTCTAAAGGGAAATTAACACGCACACACAATACAAATATTACATTTACAAAAAAACGGACGACAAGAGATCAACATATGGTCATTATCACACGTTCTAAGAAAACTTCATTTGTTCGCTGAGAAACAAAAAAAACACAAGCACAGTTTTTTTTATGTGAACAAATCTACGACTTTCGTGGTGTCACTAACAAACACTCACACAATGCTAGCATCTACGTATCAATACAGGAAATAATATGCAATATTATAATACAAAAAGGAAGAAATGGAAATAAACAGATTTTAGTTTCAAAGATAAGAGAAAGGGAAACAGAGTTTTTCAACTTGACATCCAATAATTTTAACAAAAAGAAAAAAAAATGATATACTCTTTAAAACAATATGTCAAACATTACAAAAATGAGAGAATGTGTATAATTCGTGGGGGAAATCATTCCCGAAAATTACGTTGCAATTACTTTTTCAAAAAAAAAAAATCGTTTCGAGTTTGAAATTATGAATATGGGAAATAGAAACTGCAAAACGTTTTTTTCAAAAAAAAATTTTGTTTAGAAAAAAGGTGCGTTGTCGAGTTAATGTCATTAATATTAACGCCATTATAGATTATTATCAAATATATCATATAGAAATGTATGTTTTTGTGCAACATACGGTGCAAGTGTTTAGTAAATAATCAAATCAAGCATCTATAACAAACGTACTAAATATAGACGTAGCATCTAATTTTGTGCGTTCGTTCCTGCGAAATCAATGTTTCGAACATTTCGTACGGACATTCGTACGGTTTCGGTGCCCCGATTATTGATTAATCCAACGAATTCAAATTCTGATTTGGGTTTTCAGCCAAACAAAAACTCCCCACTGTGTAGATCAATAGATCAATGTAACCATGCAATGTACAAACTTGAAGCGAACATTGATAATTGTGATCGGTGAGATTTACTTTAATAATTTATGAATTTTTACTGAAAATTATTGTCAATCACATACATCTCTTCTTTGTACAGAAATAAAAAGGGAAATATGGCGAAGTTGGATAAAGAACTGTACCGAATTTATAATGTTGTGACGTTTCCATAAGTGGCGAATGCAAATCAAACATTATAGATTCCATACATTCCATCGGCAGGGGTCATTGAAAATGAACCCTAGTTTCATTGTCAATAATATGAAGCAATGGGTTAACCGAAACCGATGGAGCCAATTGATTCTTTGAAGCAATATTCAAACAGATCTTGCCAATCAATTTATAGATGCTTGATTATTTCCCAAACACTTGCATCGTATGTTGCACAAAAACATACACACATGGAAAACATTTCATTGATAATAATGTGTTGTGGCGTTAATATAAATGACATTAACTTGAAAACGCATTTCATTTCTAAATAAATAAACACCAACTAATTATAAAAGTAATTTCCCCCTCGGTATAATTTGATGATCGAATCGTTAGTAATCGAAAAATTGAGATGATTTTTTTTTTGTTCAGGCTATTCTATGTTTTATATTTTCGGTCGTTTTTTTTTATTTTTTTGGCTGCATATTTCAGATATATTTTCAGTTGTGTTGTCCAAGACGATTCTTATATAGAATATATGGTTTTGATTTTTATAAAAAATTTATATTTAATCAATTAAAAAGAAACAACAAAAAAAAATAACAAATGATTTTCAAATTAAAAATAAATCATCATTCATAATAAATGAGATAGCATTTCAAACGATTGCTCCCAAGTGGCCGTGTGTAGTACTATTTTTGTTTTTCTTTCAATTATAATTTTTTTTTTGCTTTTCGTTTCGTTTCAGTGCGGCGCATGCATATCACGTCGTTTGAAGTGTTATCTCATCATTTCTCATCCAATTCAACATTTCAATTCAATTTGCATGCATTTTATATAAATTTTTCGTTTGTTTTTTATATCGTGCTCTCTCGACTTTGGGCAAATTTTGAAGTGTTTGCATGACAATTTCATTTCGACAGAACGTGTTGACGAAGAAAGACGGGTTAAATTTGTAAACGATTTTCGACGACATTTCTGCACGTATATATGACATATATGGATGTAAAATGAGCGAAAAAGAAATGACTAAAATTGGAATTGCGTCAAATACAAAGATGAATTGGTAACCATTGTTTTTGATTGAAAAAAATGTATTCCGAATGAATAAAATGGACTTGAAACAACATCACGTTCAATACGGTTTGGAAATCCACTGAAATCGTCTGATCAAAAATCGACTTGACGAAAACACTAACTAATCAAATAAAATGGAAAAAAATTTACAAAAAAAGAAAAACATACAAAACGCATAAAAAAAATTAACAATGAAAAATATTTAAACGAATAAAAAAAACTACTAATTAACAAAAACGGAAATCATGCGAATTGGTGTGATTTTAACGTAAAATAATATTGCAATGAAAAAAAAGGTGTAGAGCTGCTAATCAAATTAATAGAAATGGAAACACCAAAAACAAAAATAACGAAATATTGTACAATAAACAGAATAGGTAACAAAATTGTCGAAACAAAAGAGATAAAATATACACAATAAATAAATGCAGAAACTCTATAGTACATACAAAATACAGAAAATTATACAAATTATAAACAAAACTTAACATTTCTTTTTTAAAAGAATAGAATAGAATTCGTTGGGAAATAAAAACAAAAACAAAAACAACATTAAACAATTATAAAATCAATTGAAACTTGAAATATTAACAAAAATTATAGTTGATTCGATCATAATTATAAATTAAAAAAAAAGATCATTGTCTTCTCAAGTCGGAATATTTTATTTTTCATTTAAAACATTGGATTTGCATTTAGAGGATTGGCCGACGCATTTTTATTTTACTAGTTCAAGGCGATTGAGTGAAAGAGAAATATAGCGAATGAAAGAACTGCGTTTTTCTTGGCTTTTTTTTCAAATATTTTTTTTTTTCGTTAAAAGACCGAAGATAACATTTGTTTAATTGATTTTTTCTTTCAAATGCACACAGACAGCGTAATTGAATTGGCTGTTACATATATTCCACAAGCACACGCACACAAAAGCGCATAAAACACACACGCGCGCGCAATTTGTTTTGCCATCGTTAGTGAATGAAGCGGCATTGAAATAATTTTTGGGCGCAACAAGACGTTCAAAGTTCAGCCAAAAGATCTTTGCTTTTTTATCGCCTAATAAGCAACAAATTCGATAAAAAAATTTACGAACAAAAAAAAGAAGAAGAAGTTTCTTCTACAAAGAGTGATAGAAAGAGAGAGAGAAAAAGATTCAAATGTCAAAAATCTTACCTCATCGAAAAATACTTGAGTCTTTCGGAGTATATGTTTTAACTCAGTCAATTCCAAGTAATTGCGTTTTAGGGCCTCCGCATTTTGGTTCACCTCACGCAATTCATTTTCCAACTTTTCGAATGTTGCCTAATCGAACAAAAAGAACGAAATGAAACGCATTTTTGAATGGATTTTTTTTCTGTGATTTATCAAACCTCTAAGTCAATCATTTCACGTGGTTGCGGTGCTTCAGGACTTTCATCCGAATTTGCCATTGGAATGTCATCTTTTTTGATTTCCTTTTCCAAGTACCGCAATTTTCGTTCCATTTCATCGCAACGGCGCACTTCATTAACGAATTTACGTTGAAATGCATTCACATCCGGATTTAACTAATGAATGAGACGAGATATAAATATGTAGGAATCATACACATATAATTAATTATCAAATAGGAGCAACTACAATTAATATCAATAACAGTGATCTTAAATATGAAGCTACTTTTTAAATATAAGTGGCTCTTCTAATAAATAATTTTAATCGAAATAATTTTGTGAATCTAGAGACACCGAAAGAGAGAGAGAGAGAGAGAGGAGGGAGACAGAGTGAAAAAAACACATCAGTCTCTAAACAAGCGAAGTAGAATAAAAAAACCGGTTTTTTGAAAATATCTTGTGCTTTTCGTTTGACTGATTTTTTTTTATGTTTGCAAATTTTTTTGCTGTTTAGTGTTTGCGTGTGTGTGTGTGTGAATTTCATAATTATAAATGCCTTTAGATCACATGCTCAATATTTATTCTTCGATAGTATCTAGTGATCTACTGATTAAATAAAACCACGTGAGTGGAATTAAGTATGCAAACAAATCCAAATTGATATCTTAATTTCGTATATACTATTTCAAATGGTCTTATTCTCACCAATGCCATAAATAAATATTTGGATTAACGTTTGCTGAGCGTTTCCTCTTTTTTTACTCTCTCTCTCTCTCTCTTTCTCAATTACATTTTTTTCGATTTCGATTGTTCTTTTTACTTACATCACGAAATTGAACTAAGCCCAATTCGCCCAATTCCGAAACACATGCATATGCCGCTTCACTTTGCAAGAAGAGCTGACATAATGTCATCTCTTCACTGCGAAATAATGATCCCATAATTAATGCCTTTGACTGCTATTTGCCGCAAATCAAATGTGAATCGATTTGTGTGTTACTTCAAACCTGTGAAATGGAGAAAAAAAGAACTTAATTTGATGGTGCTAAATTCAAAACATTTGTCATGATGCAGATGTGCACAATGATCATTGTTTGGCCGGCAACACATTTGTTTTTAATGACCAATTTCATAAGATAAACAAAAGCACGGCAAATGAGTGTGATTTGATTGACAGAGATTCAAATTAGCAATTCATTCCGTTTAGCGAATGTTTATTTCATTGTCCTTGTTCGTAGACCAAATAAACCTGAGATCGCGTAAATTTAGATGAGTTGTGTGTATTTTTGATTCATTCAAAATGTCCAATTTGCAAGTTTATTAAAGACATGTTTAGCGGGGTGCTAAGCCTCTTGACGAAAGTGTATCATATTTCTTTTGCTTTGGACCGCGCGACACTTGAACAAGGTATGAATGGCATGAATGCGCAAGATATTTAATACACATGCCACATGAGCGTTAGTCATTCATGTTTAACCATGTCTGAAACTGGAGACAATTTTGTATTGTTTTAAGTAGAGAACAACAGAAAAAAAAAACAAATAAACAAACAAAAAGACACAAGGTGTGAGAATGGAAACGAATATGAAAAGAAAAATAGGCGAATCTATGGAAAAGGTCATGTTTGCCTGGCGTTAATTGGAAAATAATCGCCGAAATTCTCAACCGATCGAATTGTGTTAATATGCGTCAATCAAATTGGTGGCTATTACACAATTTCAATTGTACACACACACATATGTTTGCCGTTCAAATTATCACGCGCATTAATTCGGGTTTTTTTTTCTCTTTTTAAAATCGTTTGAGACAAAAAAAACCAATTTAAACAAAACCTGAATATCATCATCAATGGTTCAGTTTCGATTACGGTAAGAATTTAATTATCATGTTATGGTGTTGCATGAATCCCCACATCCAAAACGCATACTATTAAAGACGTCACATCGATCGACACTTAATCTGCGTACGATTTATAGTAATTGATTGTGGCTGAACATTCAATAAATTAAATCGAACATCTATTAATATCACAAGTAATCGGTGTTGTTGAGCGACATACACACAGAGGAGACAGAGACGTTCTTACATCACGTTTGAAGATCGAATTGAGGCTTGTTTAAAATTGAATGAAGAGATGTGACATTCGTATGAAACGATTTTTTTGTAATGCCATTCAAGAATGCAACAAAATGTAAGTTGTATGAATTGGTGTTGATGTCGGCAATTCGGTAACTCAGAATGAATTATGTTTGATTTGTGCATTTTGAATGTCAGCCGCGGCACATCACATACAAGCACATATGCTTGCATATGTGTGCAAAGAATGAGCGCGTGCATTTTGTATGCCATGTGTGCACCTCGTGTGCTTACGCTCATCGTTGCCAATTGTGATTCGGATATATATATTTGTCTCGTTGTCCGCAGCCAACTGTCGATCAACGGTTGAAATTACAATTTCATCGTTTTATGTGCTTTTTCTGTAATAAAATAGGTAACGAATCTGTTGACGGATCATTAATGTCTCCATAAATGAACAAGGTCACAACAAACTCATGTTTTTTTTTTCACTTCTCTATTCTTTCGGTATTTGGAATGATAAACTAAAATCAAAACAAGCATGAAACAATAATAACACCAGATTAGAACGAAACGATCGATATATGTATATCGGTTAATTTGTCATGGTCCAGTAAATCTGAGTAATTTTTTTCGCTATTTCTCATCAACTTTATATTATTTTCTTTTTTTTTTTTTTTGAAGAACCGGTACATGTCTCTGTGTAGATTACACCTTTTTTTCGTTCATTGATTCGTATTGGTGGCACACAAAAATGTGATATTTTCATGTATGTTTGCCAAATGGTTTGTTCAAATTGCGAATTTAAAACAAATACATCGTCGTTTTTTTCGCCAACCACTTGAGAATGTATCGGTGCATACATTTTTTTTTTGGCAAACGCGTATTGTTTTCCATTCATTTACATATGCTGCTAATTGTTCGGTTTTTTTTTCAATTTTTTTTTATTTATTCATGCTGTTCATTGTTTCTCTTCATTGCTATTGATCACTATTCAACAATTTCTTATTCGTGCAAATATTTACATAGATGGAATGAGAAAGATAGACAGTTTATTTTTAGGCGATTCTTTTGCTTTTGCAAAATTTCGCATGCAATTGCCGTTGTTTTATCCGTCACTTTGTTCTCTTTCCTTCTCTATCTCTCTCTCTCCGTGTTTGTATGTTAATCGGCCCCTTTTTTCTATCGGTTATTTGATTGAGAATATTTTTGGCCCAAATCTAATGATATTGAACAATGTCTGACGCAGAGTGTGTGTTCACTCGTTTCGCTTCTCGTTTTTTTTTTTCTCTCAAAATATTAATGTCAGAATGTAAAACATTCATTTAGCTAGAATCTTTGGGATTGCCAAATCGGTTGGCTTTTCATACGAAAATCTCAACTTTCAATCAACATATGCTGTGCATGGTGTTTGGTTTGCTACATTTTTTTTCTTTAAATTCATATCGCACCATTCAATCTTCTACATTGAATTTAAAACAAAAAACTCGATGTAACACAACTTTTTTTATAGCAAAAATGCTTGTGTAATGTTTTGCTCTCCATTTCTTGACTTAAAATTCAATGATATATGCTGAACACAAAAAAATTCCTTTGGTAGCCCATTCGGTTGGACAGTCATTAACTTTTCGCACAATATGCTGTTTATTTTTCAGTGATGTGTAAATAAAACTTACGTTCAGAATGTTTAATTTTCACATAACAAAAGAAATATCAATTACCACTAAAAATGGTTGAATGATCTCTTTGATTTCGATGGAACTTTCTTTCGATGTGTCACACAGTTTCGAGGAAAAATAACATAGATTGAACGAAAAAAAAAATCGATAATGTAAACGATATTAAAGCTAAGCACAATTCACGTAGTATTAGCGTCAGCACATACAATGAACACACAAAAAAAAGAGTTGTATGCTCTGTAAAAAGCACCAGTGCTATAGTACTAGCAACTAATGACTGACTCAAAACGACAGTTTTGTTAGACACTAGCCAGTTTTGCGCATACCAATACAAACGAATATGTGCCCCATTGTGATAGCACTCGCATACTCTCGTACAAGGTACGACCGACACAAAATCACAAACAACAATTGAATGGATTTTTATTTTCGTCGTCGTTGATTAGGTGTTGGTGGCTACAATCATTACACCGCCTCGCACCTCCTATATGATATTGACCATTTATGTATGGGTTTCTTTCATAAATTCAAACAACAATGGGCAACGATGTAAATGAAATTGAGAAAATTTACATGTATGCATGATTAAAGCGCCTTATCAAATTGTATTTGAAACAAAATAAATATGCGTCGATTGTTGTTGTATTATTTGTTCACAGAATCAGTGACTCTGTCGCGATGGATAGAATAACAACATTGTAATCAACAAGGTTTTTAGATGCGATTGCATATATTATAACAACCTCTCAACAGTAACAATATCAATCGTTTGCTTAAATCGATTATTATTCAAATTTCAACAATTTTATATCGAATCAAAACCGCACACTCTGCACAAATCACATAATTCGATTGAATGAATCATTCCGGAAATTAGGGATTTCCACTAACTTCCTTTCTTTTCTGGTTTATATTGACGCTTTGTTCCTCTTTTTGTTGTTTCTTCTTACTTCTTCTTAGGCTGAATGGAAGTGGAACAAAGTATATGAATTTTCACTTAAAATTCGACACTTACTCAAATCCAACTATTTTGTGCAAAAAAGTCTTCGTCACCAAATATAACAACAACAAAAAAAAACTAACAAATTTCGAGAGAAAATGAAATATTTAGTATAAAAGTTATGAGTTTAATACACTTTTGTCTTCGTTCTTGTAATTCAGTAATTTTGAGACAGTGCATTATCACGGTTAAATGTAAAACACTCTCTTTCTCACATACACCGATTTATACACTCCCACCGCAAAATAAGAATTGTGCAATAAAATTGTATTTTTACCCGAAAATCTCTTGGTTTTTCTTTTTCTTATTCGTATTGCTCCAATAAATCTGCGATTGTCTGATATATGACGAAAAAGTGCCTATATTCAAAAGCCTACGACACATAAAACAATATGGCGACTTATGTCAAACGTGTAAATCAGCTGTTGAACACTTGAACTGTGTGTTGGACGGACGGACGAAGAATGGAAATTGAAATCAAGAGATATGGAAACTGGAGAGTGAGGAAGAAGTTCACATACATTTTCTATCAATTATTCGCAAAGTTGTTGATTCTTTTTTGTCGTTATCACGTAAAATTCCACTTTAAAGCAACAAAAGTGGAAAGATACGCATTCTTTGAACCGACAATTCAATGGAGATTAAGCAAACACCAACGGCTTTGGATTCAAAGTGAACTCTTTTATCAAAGAGTTTGCAATTGATTGATTGTAGAAAAAATCACAGAAAGCAATCTAGCAGGCAGAATTGACATCGAACAAGAAAAGGAGAATGTAAAACAAAAGCATGCATGTCATAAACGAATCTAAATGGAAATTGTTGACATATTCCATTTGCCATGTGTTTCATTCGGCCTTCTCTGAAATGGGTGTCACAGACTCTCACTGCAAAATGTAAAATATTATCCAATCAATTAAAACGAATGATTTGTACAAAATATCATTTATTAATTCCAAAATCGGGCATATTTTCAACATCAAATTTCGGGGGAAAAAATGCGGAACGTTTGTTCGTTCATTATCCCGGTGATTTCGGTGCGAACTTATCACACACCCTGTATAAACAAGTATACAGTATTTGCGCGCGTCGTCTGCGAGGTGCTTTAGCAAAAACATTGACACCAAGAGTTGGTTGTAAACAGAAGTTGAGTCTGTTCAAACAGCAAACTGTAAAAACGTTTCATTTTCTCTCAATTTTTTGTATCAACATTCACAATTGCAAAAGACTGAATTGTTTTGTCTTATAAATTGGCCACTATCAATAATTTTGTTTAAATTTCGTGTCACAAATAAAATAATATTCGATTAAATGGATGTTTTAAGTGAAGATAGTCGTTCGGATTTTGAGACGAAAAGTAATCAGACAACAGACGATAATGAAAGACCGTCGGGAAATTGTTATTGGTAATTAAATATTTTATATTTATGTTTGTCGATAAATTCATCGAATATTGAAATTTGTCAAAATGCGACATTTTTCTATGTTAAATAGTTCATTGTTGGAACAAGAAAAAAAAAAGAGAGAGTAGAAATACAGAACAAATGAAACCTAACCTCAAATAATATTTTGAATAGACGTTTATGTATATGATAAACATTCAAACAACTAACTGGGCTATTATTATGTTTCTGTTTGTATGCGTTTTCACAGTGGCAAAGACCGAAATTTAAATATCCTGGAATTGTTATGCGCAACATGTTATCACTGGTTTCATGAATCATGTATCGGTTTTCAAATGGGCAAATTAATTCCGTTCGCAACAAATTACATCTTCTTTTGTAAAAATTGCTCACCCACCGGCCTGGAGAGCTTCCGTAAATGTCAAGCAAGTAAGATGAATGTTTTCACTTGAATTGATAATTGGAAATTTATATTAGATTTGATTTAATGTTTATGGTCTGATTTTTTACGGATTTTGTAGCTATTTCACAGATGTGTGTAACAGCCATCGCAAATTTACAGCAGCAACATCAAAAGAAAGGCAAACTCAAGTATGTCTTTGATAAAGATGAAGATTTAATTCCATATATGGAACAATATTGGGAGTCAATGACCACGATGCCACGCCGTGTGACACAATCATGGCAAGTATTTTTGATATTTTTTTTTTATTTAAAACTTTCAATCAGACTTCACATTTAAAACTATCAAAAATTTAATGTTTTTCTTTAAATATCAAATAGGTATAGCACAGTACAGAAGACGCTGCTGAAGGAAAATGCGGTGTTCATTTTTGAAGATGGTTTAGATGGTCAGCAAATGTTTGGACTAGTTACAAAAGATCTCACACAAATCAAACCAAACTATGAAGCAATGGTGAAAGGTGGAACACTTCGAATTACCGACGAAGGATACGCACAAGGTAATTATCGTTACGATTAGAATTCACTTTGAGATTATTCAACATTTTTCTTTCGATCAGTCTTTTCTTCCATTCGAACACCACTTCTATTCCTATCCATTTCATATACATCCGCGGTTTGTTTTGTTTTATATTGAATGAAAGACACAAAAACACAAAAACAATGCCTGTTTGATAATTGGCGAGTGTATTATTATTTTCGGTATATATACAAACATCGTCGACTGTGATTCAAATCAACTGTAAAGTGGAAAATTTTCTCCGTAGCGATAAAAAAAACCGACTCAAAATGAAAGAAAACCACACATTAGAAATTCTGTGTTGAAAATAATCTTCGGCGACACAACAATTAACAAAATGATAATGGTTTTGATTTTTTAAAAAAATGATACAAATGACCAAATTATTGTGTATTGAAACCGTCACTTCCATTTACCATCTTGCTTATGTGTACACGATCTATTTTATTATGTGAAATTGTGTACTGTGTATTGTGTGTGATATGTTCTAGGAGCCATAGCTTCTTATGTTGTACGTGTATTTGTTAAAAAATGCTATAAATATACATAAGCGTTTTGCTAGTGGATCGCGCATATCGCGCTCGTTCTATATTCAGTGTGTGCCTTTAGAGTGGCTGTCATTGCTGGTGCTTCGCACTTTGTTTCAATTATTATTAATTTTTTTTCTGTTCTACTCATTCTCTGCGTACATTACGTTGTGTGTTTCGGTTGGTTTTTTTTATTTCGATAAGAAATATAAATTGAGAGAACAAAAAGAAAAGATACTCATCGAAGAAAGAAAAAAAACGATATCGGTTGGTTTTTGTGTGTCACCTTTTCACTCCTTATTTGACATACAATATATGTAGTCTTTTCTCTGCGTATCGCTCTTTCTCTTTCGCTCTCTTTCCATACGGTTCGTCGTAAATTATGCATGTGTGTGATTGATACACAAATATACATACGGGGAATACATAGTATAGCTTACTTACGACATTTGGTTTGCGTTTTACCGTGTGTACTGTTCACCATTCGAACTTGTGTATTTATGCGAACGCATATAATTCATAGTCAATTTTTAATTTATTCGATAGACTTGTGTACCTAACATTTTTATTTCTTGATTTTATTTTTTATTTTTGTTTTTGTTTATTTTGTCGTGTATGCGTTTCGTTTCACAAGACATATTTTTTTTTATATATCATTTTATATTTACGACTTGAAATTTCGTATTGTGTTTGTGGAATGGTACGGCATATAAAATTGTTTTAACAAAAATGTATGAAAAGTTTACATTGTCAATTAAGATTAAGACATCACCTGAGTAAAAACAAAGAAAAAGATTTATTAACGGTGGAAAATTAAAATTTTATGAACTATCAATCTCGCATCAAAGTTTCATCACCATCATTATCATATTTCCAACTCAAACTAGTCAGTATCAATGCATTTTGACCATTTCAATTATTACTTTGTGTGATATATTCTACATTGTAACCATTTGTGACTCACTCATGAAAACACACAAGAGACGAACCTATCAATATTTTGTTTCACAACAATTATCGACATTGACAAAAAAAAACAGCAGGAATGATGAAAACAACCGAAGAGTGGAGAAAAAAGCATTGATTTTGTTTTTTCGTTTTTGTTGATTTTTTATTTGTTATATTATCTGCCACAAAGGGTGTGTTCTGGAAAGATTTGATGGTTTAGTCGTCGTTAACATCGTCATCATAAATTAATCTTTATCATTTGTCCGGAGGGTTTGAACTCAAAAAAAAAAAACGAGCACACATTTCACTTCCGCTGCTATAACCAAACAATGGAGGAAAGTACACGTATGTATCATTTCGAGCCTATGTTTCCACATATTAATCACATCTATATCATAACCAAACACACACACACACACACACATCATGCGCGCATCGGTTCATTTGACATTTGACGGCACAATAATTCCTTGCCAACATTGTCACTGTATAACTGTCCTCCCTTAATACATACAACATTACAGCATTGTTCCACTTTCATTTAGATGACATTTTTTTTGCACAGTTCCGATTCTTTTTTTTATGATAAAATTGAATGCGCAAACGATTTAACACAATAATTTTTTTTTATTCCGTATTGCAGCAAGTTTAACAAAAGGAAGACCAAATAAACGGAAAATACCTGGTGGTGATCAAGGACCCACCGGAAAGAAAGGTCGTCCAAGTTCCGATATCACAGCTAATGTTAAATTACCGGCCCATGGTTATCCATTGGAGCATCCATTCAATAAGGATGGATATCGATATATTCTAGCTGAACCAGATCCACATGCACCGTTTCGTCAAGAATTTGACGAAAGTGCCGATTGGGCTGGCAAACCGATACCTGGTTGGCTTTATCGTTCACTCACACCGAATTCAGTATTGTTAGCACTTCATGATCGTGCACCACAATTGAAGGTGGCCGAAGATCGGCTGGCGGTCACTGGTGAAAAAGGATATTGCATGATTCGTGCATCGCATTGTAAGTAAACGATTGAAATTTTCTTTTATTTATTTTGCATGAATGTGATCTAATTTCATAAATGTGTGTGTTATTTTTAGTTGTGACACGTGGAAAATGGTATTTTGAGGTGACGATCGAGGAAATGCCGGAAGGTGCGGCCACACGAATTGGATGGGGACAAGAATATGCCAATTTACAAGCACCATTAGGTTATGATAAATTTGGTTATTCTTGGCGATCACGAAAAGGTACCAAATTTCATGAATCATTTGGAAAATCATGCAGTCCCGGTGGATACAGCGAAGGCGATACACTTGGCTTTCTTATTTGTTTGCCAGAAACCGGACCAAATCGGGATTACATGCCAAACACTTTCAAAGATCGAGTATGTATTCAAGCAAAATTACCAATTTTCACATTCTCTAATTTCTGTGTTTTTCCTTTGTTTTGTTCAATTTCTCAGCCGCTGGTGAAGTTCAAGAGCCATTTGTATTATGAAGATAAAGACAAGATAACGGAAGCGTTAAAGAATCTAAAAACAGTGCCCGGCAGCAGAATCATTTTTTTTAAGAATGGCGAATCTCAGGGAGTAGCATTTGAAAATATAAACGGCGGTGCCTATTATCCAGCGATTTCAATTTACAAAAATGCAACTGTAAGCGTTAACTTTGGACCGAGTTTCAAATATCCAAACATTGAAAAGAAATTCAAATGCAAAGCGGTAAATATTCAATTGAAACAGTTCAACATGAACCCATTTCCATTAATTCTATTCTATGTGTAATTGGCAGATGAATGAACGAGTTGAAGAGCTTATTTGCGAACAATCACTGGCTGATATGGTTTATTTCACGGAGAATGACGGTGAATTGCGGCTTTAATAATCCCATTTGAATTTTCAATGAAAACAAAAAGAAATCTATTTATAATTGTAAAATGTTCAGTATATGATCATTGGATCGAAGATTAAAAACAAAAACAAAAACAAACATATTTTACGTTTTAAGTTAATTATTAATTTTGAACTAAGGTGTTGCGTACAATTAACGTTTTAAATGAGTTTAAGTTTCTAATTATTTTACATCAAGATTATGGTGAGATTGGCTTTATTCGATATTTTTTGAAGGGCTTGATAAGGCGATAATTAAAAAAACTGAACTTAGAGCACTCGATGGGTTAATTATTTTTGGTGGATTGGACTTTAAATTCGTTGTTGTTGTTGTTGTTGTTCAAACGCCGTCACAATGTGTTGCCGGCCATTTCGAACCAAATATTCCTTCAAAGAATCAATTGGCTCCATCGGTTTCGGTTCCTCAATTGCTTCATAGACTGTAGTGCTGTGAATATTGAAGAAAATTTAAATTAAAGTTCATTTTCATATTGAAATTTTTTCAAATGCTTACTGAATTCTGTGTATTTGTTTGAGTGTTCCTTCGATGAATGTACGTGTTTTCTGTAACTTCGCCATATTGTTATCTTTCTCTTTATCTCTGTAAAAAGAAGACAACAATGTTCAGTAAAAATTCATAAAATATTAATAAAATTCATAATATAAGTAAATCTTACCGAACATAATTTTCAATGTCCGCTTCAAGTTTGTGAATGGCATGTTTGAATTGGTCCATTGATTTAGAAAGTGGTGATTTTTTGTATCGTTCATTACCCGTTGTTGGAGTTGTTCTTATCGCATCGGAATCCGAATTCGATGAATCACCATGGGATCGGCGCCTTTCATCTGCAGAGGTAACAAGACTGGATGTTGATGGTGGGGCCATCGCATGCGGTTGTATATACTGTTGACCAACGATTTGTTGTTGTGCCGTGCCTGGGAACGAGTATTGTTGGTTGGAATTTTGTCCATCCATTTTAAAAACACCAAATGCTTTGAAATAAACTTTGAATTAAATAAAAAATGGAATAGTTTATATTTGTTTCGAACAAAACACATTCGATTAGTTGATATATAACTTGTTGCTATTAGCATCTTTTTCTTCTGGATATTGACGACATCTACTATTTTTCATAGAGAAATGAAACTGAGAACTGTCAATTACTTTTTCGTACTAGATTAATTCTAGTCATAACTAGTTTTTTTGCATTCATCTATTTGATTATGTTGCGTACAATTAACGTTTCAAATGAGTTCTAGTTTCTAATTCGTTTACATCAAGATTATCTCTAAATATGTCTATAGAAAAAAGAGGATAAAACAATTGTTGCTGTGTTTGTATTTTGTTTTACGGCATATCACTTTCTCGATCTGTTGCGAAAGGCGAATTTCCGTTGCAATTTTGTCCATTTTCATTGTACTTTTTTTATTATTTGCCAAAGCCACCTTTACAATTCGGACTCGGATCCATTTTGTAGTTTTCATTCCATTGAGCCGGGCTTTTCGTTTCAATTGACAATGCATGCACGAAATCTCCATCCAATTTTTCCTTAACTATTTCATTCACCAGCCGATGTCTCTGTACGTCATTCAATGCGAGGGGAAAGAAAACCGAAATAGCCGAGAATGTTAATCGAAAATCGTGCAGTTACTTGAAAATGAATGCATGTTTGGCTCAATTTACCTTTATCAGTGGTAGTGATTCGAATTTTTTCGACACCACCAACACTTTGAAGTGGGTTTCGGCACCATTTGGAACATTATGCATATACGATTCGTTCACAATTTCCAAATGGATTGGCTCAAGTTTTGTTGTTATTGCCTCTGTGATAGCCTGTTCGATGGGACCGCCGCTTGTATTTGTCGACATTATTCGGTTCAGTTGTATTGAGCGAAAATAGCTGTGTATTGGTTTGATTTTGAATACATTCACTGTAATGTAAAAATAATAACAACAACATAACCTTGAGCAAATTTTGTTTTACCCGCACAGCAAACCGTTAAATTTCATTCAATTTTCACTTACCAATATTACGTTTGTACATTTATATTTGATTTTGAAATATTATTTTCTATTAGATTTATTTCACTTGAGGCTTAATGTCATCAAGCAAAAAATCACACTCAAACAAATTTCCGAAAGAATTCCAATTTGACAGAATGTGCACGCTATGTTCAATTTGTACGTGTTGCACGTAGAGATCTAGTACGTTGTTTTTTTCGTCGTTGCTGTTTGAAAATGAAACATTTCATCGTGATCGTTTCAAATGGGAGTTTAAAGAAAATTCTCGACTCTTTCCGTAAAAAATGAAATGAATCTAATTTCAATATTTTCAATAATTTTTTAATGGAGATTTAACTGCAATAAATAGTATTGTCAATGTTTTTCAATATCGAATTCAAAACTCCTTGACAACAGCTACTACAACAAAATCATTATTTGTTTGTTTGCTGGTTGTTTGGCTCATTTGTTTGTGTTTTTTTTTCTCCCTTCATTTTTATCGATGGACTTTATTTTGAATAAATGTTGGTTTGACATAACAATCTTTCGTCAAAGACCAAACATTGTGACATCGACGAATTATTTCACATTTGGATCGAAAATTGTCCATTCTCAATATTAAAATTCAATGTTGTGTAAAGTGATGTAGACTGTGTGCGAATAATTCCAATTCAATTTTATTTTCACTGTCATCTTATGCGTTTCGTTTAATTTCGATTTGTTTTTATTTTACTTGGTATTTTCCATATTGAATTCAAAACGATTCAACACGATTCAGTCACATACGAAACGAAAAAGAAAAAATGTGAGTGACCGTCGACATTGTAATCATCATGGAAAAATTGAAAATACCTGACATCAATCTAACATCCGATTCCGAAGATTTTATTGATGACTATTGGTTTACATCGCCAAGTGCCAGTTTTGATGGTAGTAGCGTCAGTTCGATTCCCTGGGCCGAAGATGTGGTCAAACAAAATCAAGAGCTGTGGGAAAGGGTCGAACGAATGTTTTATGGCGAAGAAAGTTTACCAACAAATGACATCAAGCTACGGAATGAAATCATCGAATGGACCAATCATTTTCCATATTTGCGAATTACTGGCGAACAAATGCCAATTTATTTCGGTAACAATGTATCGACGAACGATGCAAATTATGAGGAAATACTTGCCATACATCCGCCAACACATTACGAACGAAAATCAGCCGTTCTATATGCAAATCGAGACGATCGATATCAAGACGGCGCGTTGACTGGAAATGGAACGCTAGCGAATGATATTGAGAAATGTTTAAGAATTACGTCGGGACCATTATTATCACGACGAGCGCAAAATAGCCGAACTGCCTATGCTATTCGAAGTACATGCCCAACAAATCAAGCTGAAATAAATTACACACAAGCAATGCAAAATCGCAAAAAACACAATTTAAAATCAGCAATGGTGTCGGTTCGAAGTAATTATGATATTGGAACACAATTTGCGGAAAAATTGTATGGATCGTTTGATGTGGATCGACTGCATTCAGTACCTTATTCAGCTCGTTTTATCAAAATACCCCGATTGAAAAGTGAAACTGGTGACCTGAACACAATGACGGCAAACAAATCGAATATGATTCGAATAAAGACCGCCACTCTTGTACCAATCACACGACCATTGAGAAATTCCATTACATTGCCTGCCATCAATATTGAACCGAAATACTTTGATCGCAACTCAAGTGATGCAATATCGGCTTTTATCTATCAAAACACAAGCAACAGACCAACAACACATTCACCACTAAAAGCATTAAAGAAACGGTCCGAATCCGAGTGAACAAAATGCAATGAAAGACTCTGTTTTTTTAATGTCATGAACACTCTATTGAATTCAATGTGATACACTCTAGTTTTGATTTGAACTCTTTTCATTTCCGTTGTTTTCTTATTGCATATGCATAGAATTATTGATTTATTCTCCGCAAAAGAATACACAATAAACGAATATTTTTGTCTAAAAGGTCATTTTGTTTCATTCATTTTACTTAAACAACGCAATATTTTGGAATTTATAGCAGAAATATTTGAGGAAACTGCACCAATGAATTGTATTCTTATGCATGGCACAATCATTTTCCATATGAAAAAATATCGATAATTCAGGGACCTACATATATTAAATTATCCGAAAAAAATGTTGTACAGATGATTGGGAGTATTGAAAAAAACGAGGTTGCGGCATTTTGAGTACATAGCCGAAAATTTATATTAGATTATTTTCAGATGTCCAGTATTGCGTTACAGTGAGAATTTTTACATCTCACATATTCGTCACCAAATCTTCAAGACAATTCAAAAGTATCAAATTGAAAATGAAGCCAATTATAATTTTAAGCGTTTTACTGTTCGCATTATTGAGTACGTAAGAAATTATCACAAAAAAAAACTAATCTATTTTTCATACATTCGATTTTTCTTCAAATCTTTATTGTATTACAGCACCGACTTTTGGGGATACTATTGTAACAAGAAATATCATATCGTCGCATTGAAGGTAAATATTTTGAAGAGTAACTTTTATAGAGTTGATGAAGAAAAATGATTTGATTCCAAACACATATATTCAGGCAAAGTGGCTCAAAGCTTTCTCTTGCTGCCGTTCCATTGGCATGAGTTTGGCTAGCATTACATCAAGTGAAGGGCAAGACCAAATAATTAGACGAATCAAGGATTCAGGTCATTCCGATTGCAAACTACTCACATTTTATATTAAAGTAAATTATCAATGAGAAGTATGCGCCTGTGTGTTCTCGACATTATCTTGCCAGATGAATCAGCTCATGGAGCTATCATCAGACACTGAAATTTAGTGAAAAAATAGAAGTGATTATGTTATAATGATTGTAACAATGTAAGTGTTTCTATAACCGTAACAATTACTTCTATTGTTTTCACTTCATTTCAACGCCTGACGCTGAATCAGCTGCCTGAAAATATCCAAATATAATGTCTGGTGCATACAATGTTGCTAGCTAACTATCTATATCAGCTATTGCTATACGGATATATTAATAACTGCTATTTAACGCATATCTTCGCTCGGATGCTGCGTATACTCGACATAACAATGGTGACATTGTTTTGAAATGAAGAAATGCGTTAATATATATATGTATTCATTATGTAAATTTTAAAACTATACAAGCACACAAACTTAACATTCTCTGTTAATAACGAATATGAGTTCTTATATAAGTACATCAAGGTTATTTCCAGACAATATATTGAACTAACTGGTCAGTTGAGCTGACAGTACGTTAGCCAGCTAAATGGATTAAAACAATAGAAGTTATTGTAATAATGAACAATCACTTCTATTAAAACAAGAAAAGTGATTCATCCTAGGGGACATTCATACTAGAAAAACTAGTGAAACTAGCAGCAACTAGCAGCGACTAGCAAGCACTAGCGTATTATAGTCCAAAGCAAATGAATTGAGGCATGTAAAATATATTGTAGCATGCGTAAGTCGCTTGCAAACGAACCAAGTGAATAGCGGAGACGCACGAAAACGAAGTGAGTGAATAGCGACAACGAACGTTGTTATCCGTTGCCGCAATACACTCACTTCGTTATCGTGCGTCTCCGCTATTCACTTGGTTCGTTTACAAGCGACTTAAGCGACTTGTTTCTTTTATGTATCATACGATACGTCTAGGTAATTTCAAAACACTAGAAAAACTAGCAGCACTAGTGTACTCACTAGTAATACTAGTAAGCGATTAGCGAATACGTAAGTAAAACTAGCTTACTAGAATTGCTACGAATGTCCCCTAGGATTCATCATTAAAACAATAACGTCTATTGTTTTAGCCCATTTAGCTGGCAATAATATTTATAAATTACTGAAAAAGATTATTATAGAAGTACTTTTTGGACATCGGGAGCTCAATTAGAAAATGATGTATTTGAATGGATGAGCATCGGTGAACGATTCTCTTACACTAATCCATCTGGTGAACCAATTAATAATCAGTGATGGTTTTTTCCTATCTGAATAGCGCTAGCTATTCGCAGCGTCTGAACAGCATTGCTACCCAGATGCTGAATCGAAGCGGTTGCCGCACGCGTTTTGTACCACACAACATATTGTCATATAGTCTAAGTAACCAGTGAGCTCACAGAGTATGATACACTAATACCATAGTCAGTATACAAACGCATGTCGAACAGAGAACGAACGCGAACGTATATGCTCTGTGTGGTACAAACGAAGTGTGTTGCGCGTGCGGCAACCGCTACGATTCAGCATCTGGGCAGCAATGCTGTACAGGCGCTGCGAATAGCTAGCGCTATTCAGATAGGAAAAAACCATCACTGTTAATAATAATAATAATGAGAATTGTATAGAAATTTTGGGCAACAGATGGGGAAAGATTTAAAAATGGAATGATGATAATTGTGATAAGGAATTTTATTTTATTTTTCAATAAAATTAATTGAATTTTTTACGAATCCTTTTGAAAAAAAGATGCAAGTTATAATGGTGGTGATCCATACCTCTCCCCTGCCAACATTGTTTATTATGAGATTATAAAGATTGATAAAAAATTAAATTGAAGTTTATTCTCCCCTTGTGAAGTTACATGTTAATAAGCGGTATGAGTTGCCTGTATCCTGTACCAAATTGGTGCTGAAGTAAATAATGTTCACGAGATGAAAGGTACTTCAGTACCTTTACTTCAGCTCATTATTACGTTCCGTAATAAATTTGTGGACTTAATGATCTAGACAAAATTTCATGACGATTGGTGCATTTTTCATTTTCGATAAACTTCGTTTTTTTCTTATTTGAAGAAATTTGGAACTTGATGATGTCAACTTACGTTGAATAAAAGCAACAAAAAAAAATGTTCACGGATACGGATAAATATTTTATCCGTGAATACAGAAATCGTGACGGATGTATTAGAATTTTTCACGGATACACATCCCACGAACATACAATTCATCCGTATTCGCGAACTTAGTTTAACAGATACGGATAAAATATATATCCGCATCCGTACGGGTACGGATGAAGTTGTCAACCGTAGGAGTAATGATAGTGAGCCCATATAGAAAAAACCACTATATCACTTTTAGAATTTGCGACGTATCAAAACTAACATATCACTTTCTCGGAACAAAATCAAATTGTTGAAAATCTGATGCCGATTAAAATCTATGTTGAAAAATTAGATCTGCAAGAAAGTGTTTATCAGCCAAAAAGTATTCAACTCCCTGAACGAAATCGTAGCGTTTTATCAGATTTAATTGATATTGAACAGTTTGAGCTGAAATTTTATCGGTGTCTAAAATATTCGGGTCATAAGTACACTTGCTTGCATTCAAATGTATCCAAAGCAGCAGACTTTTTCTTAGAATTGTTAGATGATACGATTGGCAGGGAAGAATTTTATTTCAAAGATGTATGCTGAAACGTTTATGTTCGGGTCCAAAAATGAAAAAAATTGATATTTATTTTGCGACATTTTTTTACTCCAAGGGGGTCATTAAGGGCTAAAACTTTGCCAAAGAAAGTAATCAAATATTTTTTGTCGTTTACGAGGTAAAGTGATGCTATCAAACCCCCAAAGACTTCAAAGGGTAATTACAACACAACTCCATAAAAATATTCATTTTTGTCTTTTATTTTCATCGGGATTTGAGCTCACTTAAATCCTCAATTCCTCACTCAATCAACTCTCCTGTTTTGATCAATTGTTCCTTCAAATCGAATTAAATTATATAAGTTAGAGAAGTAGTTGGTACTTACATTGTTTGTTAGACAAATAACAAATTTAAACCAAATCGTCGATAACAAAAAATATTCGTATTCATTTTTTTACAGTTTTTCATCTAATAACTTTGCGCAGTGTTAAATTTTTTTAACTTAAAATGCCATCTATTGGAAACTTTCAACAAATCCATTACATGTGATGAAAGCATGATCAAAATACATAATTACTACTTCAAAGTGTCTCGCCGCTTTAAATACTGTTTCTATCTGTAACAATGTATTTCATTCATCCGAGTGTACGTTTCGATATTCTAGAATGGAGGTTCAAACGTGAAAAGCAAGGTTTTCAAAGAATTGGTGGACGTGATGAAAAATACTTGGGACATCAGGGACGATTTCAAGTCCCCGCAGGGTGGTAAATCTCGAAATCCCTCCCAGTGCGCATGTATGATTTCATTTTTATTTAATTAACTTTCTTTATTCAATTAAAAATAGAGAATTTGCAACAAAATTATATAATTTATTTAATAAAAGAGTTGCGAATACCAAAAAAGTGACATTTCGATTTGAAACTAACACAAATTACTTCAAAAAATGTTCAAGTTCTTAAATTTGTGCGCTTTTTTATATTTTGTATCGTTGGTGACATCGCAAAGTGTAGACGATGTGGAATATTGTACAATTGAAACAGAGAGTGGATTTATTCGTGGCAAAGAGAATTACACATTGTTCGACAGTAAATTGTATTACTCATTTCGCGGCATTCCTTTTGCAAAGCCACCGATCAATGATCTTCGATTCAAAGTAAAACTTCATGGCAGTTATCAACTATTTGTTTGAAGGATTTTGACTTTTGTTTAAATGGTTTGAGATTTCTTTCAGGCTCCCGTTAAAAACGATCCGTGGCTAGGAGTACTTGATGCATTTAATTTTAAAGACGAATGTCTTCAAAAAAGTCTACACAACATATTTGGTTCGGAAAATTGCTTGTATTTAAACGTGTTCGTTCCATTGAATTGCGCGCAAATCAATTCAAGTGCAAAACTTCCGGTGTTAATTTATATTTATGGTGGAATATTTTTGTTTGGTACACCGCGATACATGATGCCGGATTTTTTAATAGATAACGATGTCATAGTTGTACGTACTATCTTCGAATTGAAAAGAACACATTTTTTTTAGACTTACCAAATAAAATTGATTGTTTCAGGTTACGTTTAGCTACAGATTGGGTATCATGGGATTGGTATCTTTGAATTTGCCAGAGTATTCGGGTAATATGGCAATGAAAGATCAAAGACAGGTTCTGAGATGGGTGAATGAGAATATTGAACGATTTGGTGGTGATAAAAATCGAGTTACTCTCAGTGGACACTCTTCTGGTATAGTTTTCTCATTTAAAAAAAAATATTGATTTTCTAATAGCTGAAGAGTTTCCCACATAACAGGCTCTATTTGTACCAATTTTCACGTAATGTCACCTCAGTCAAAGCATTTGTTCCAAAGAGGTCTTATGTTAGAGGCATCCGCTCTCAACTCACTTTTACCATCAAGTGGTGAATTTTATACAAATTTGTTGTATGGATTAGGTAATTTTATTGAAATTTTTAGAAAACATTTTTTTATCAACGTATTCAAATTACTCGAGTTATTTTAGCGAGGAACTTAAATTTTCCGGCTTCAAATAAATATGATCTGATTAAATTCTTGAATCAAATTGACGGCGAAGTTTTGGTGAATAGACTGTATCCTAATCTTAAATTTATGGATAACGGTCGTGTTGGTTTTTACGTTTGGAATTTTATCGTTGAACGTAAGTTGCATGGAATTATTATGAGATGAAAGGAATTAAATTCCATTTCTTCTTAAAACATTATCTAATGATAAAACATGTCCATTCTATATTTGTAGCAAAAGATGCAATCGATCCATTTTTAACCGAATTGCCTTTTGACATTTTGACGAGTGACAACTACGAAAGCAACATCGACACCTTGTACACTGTTGCGCCTATGGTATCATTCAGTTGATTTGATTTTATCCAGAACGATCGTTTCAAAAATTCTTAACAATTCATTTATAGGAATATATAAATGTTGATCGAAACCAATTTGATACCGAGTCTTTGAAACGCATTGACGAAATTTTCGAGTTTGAACTTCCGTTAGGAAAAGAACCAATGGACTTCGATTCGGCTGTATGTTTTGAAATGAACAAATTTTTACAAATTTCAATTCACATTCCAACATCGATTTGATTTTTAGGCTTACAAAGATATTTCGAATAATATTCGAAACTTTTATTTCGGCGGCGGATCAGTTAAAACGCCAAATATTCCACAGTTATTTGATTTGTTGTCAGATATCAATCTTGTATATGGAATGGACCTGACTACACGTATTCAAGCTAAAAAATCCACCGGACGTACATATTACAGCCAGTAATTCTTGAATGAAATGACTCTTCCGGTCCTGCGATTTGTCGTTGAAATTCAATGAATTTTCCAAATATTTCAGATTTTCGGTTGACACTGATTTTAGCTTCAGCAATAAATACACACAATCGGCAAACCTTCCAGTTAGGTTTTCGATGCATGTGGATTTATTGTATTATTTGTTTCGATACACCGAATCTCCAGTTGGAGATGCTTTCTCTGACAAGTATTATCAAAATCTCGATACAACTACGCGCAAAATTATTCAAAATACTGCCAAGTTTTTCGCGGACTTTATAAAGTTTGGGTAATTTTAAATTTAACTTTTAAAATCGTTTGAATTAAATCAATATTCTGTTTACTTCATAGAAATCCAATGCCGAATGATGAGCCCATCGTGCTTAAAATGCCGAATTCCAATCATTTGAATTACTTTGACATTAGAAATGAAGGGATTTTTGCCGAAACCGATTTAAACGAGGTTCGAATGAAATTTTGGGATGACATTTTCACCAATTATAAACATGAATTGAATACAACCTTCAACTTTCACATCCTAAGAGATGATGTTTCTTTGTAAACTTGTGAAAAAGAAAATTAATCAACATTTAATACATGCATTTTTGGGGTTTTGTCAAAGTTGGCCGGGAGCGTCACTTGAAGAACTCTATAGTATTTTTTTTATTGAGTAAAGGCAAAATAAAAACCTCCAGCAAGTCTTAAAGCTGTAGATATGGTTTTTTCTACTACTATTTAGGTACTTTACTCGCAATATATATAAAAAAAACCAAAGACTCAAAAATAAATATGAATTTATGTTGAAAATTTTCAATTTTTTTTATTCATCATTTGCTGTTTTCATTTCAGTTGTTTAATTTATAATCATATAAGTTCAGCGGTAAAATGTTTTAACTGATTAAATTGGTTTTGTAAAATTTGATCTAACCTAAAGAGGTACAGAACCGAAATGGTTGAGAGATAAAATTGTGAGTTGGTTAATTTTTATGAGTTTCACAAAAAAAAATTGTAATATTATTATAGTATATTTGGGAAAATATCATCGGAAATTTGAGATTGTTTATTACATTGGAAAAGTTTGACGAAATCCAAAAAATCTGTAAATAACTTATGTTAAATATCAATTTCTATATTTAATTGGAATTGAATGAAAAAAATAATAAAAAGTGAAATGTTTCAAGGATGAATTATAACATTATTAAAATAGAAATTTAATGAGAGACAACATTTAGAATATACTGATAAAATTTTTATGTTTGTTTTTTTTTTCCTTCGCATCTGTCAAAGTGGTGGAAATTGGAACAATTGTTCCTCATTTTTTCCTCTCAATAATTTTATTATTCTTATTTTAATTTACCATCTTGTTTATATAACTTATTCATTGTATCGCAGATTAATATCTATTGTTTCACACAATACTATACTTGTGTGTTGAACATTTTGTTTAATGTGTGCAAATATGGCGTATCGATGAAGAAAAGTGTATATGTGTGTGTTTGTGTGTATTGAGTGTGGTAAGCGATCAAAAAGGCGACAAGGACAAAGTTCGATTGAATATTTGAAATGCACATATCGAAAAAGAAAATATCAAAGCAAAAGAAATTGGTTATATTGTCGGAAGGATAAATATGTTGTTTTCTTTCTCATCAATATTCCATTATGGGCTCGATTTTTTAAAAATACACACGTTATCATAATGCTTTACTTTGAGAAATTGCACCACGATTAATTACAGTAAAATGTTTGTGTATATTGTTTTTTTTTTTCTCTTTTGTTTTTGGTTGTTTTTATTTTTGGATGAAAATGTTTATTTTTATATGTTTGACTGCAGCCTTGACCGAGATTTGTGCACGTTTCATTTATCTTAAGTCACTCGATTTTATTTTTTCATTTATTAATTTATACATGTCTTTTTTATACTGTAAATTATTTATTCAAAATCACATATCGCTGATAAAATTCATTAAGGTTAGCATTTTAAAGCAAAACTGAATGCGGTTGTGATCATTGGCATTTATAAAGTGTTTGTCTAAGGAAATCGTGAATTCGAAAGCGGAATTTTTTTACAGCATATTTAATTTTGGGATGTCCCATTTGAAGAGCTTTGAAAACTCTGATATCGTTTTTGATACTCGTTCAGAAACTATTCAAATCTAGATTTCAGACCATTAAACATAGATTCAGGTCATTAAGGGAATTTATGCCCTATATAAATCGGATTATGAGTTGTGACCCTTAAAAATGAACAAATTTTATCAAAGATTTTAAAATAAAACACAATTATCGAAACAATGGTTCGGATGTATTTCGTCAATGTGTCATCCTCAACGAGTACATTCAAACTAAGTAAAAATATAAAGTGTCGCAAAGTAGAGAGTGGAATGAGAAAAAACGTTCAACTGATTTAAATAACGGTGATCTGATCGGAGCGTCCATCGTGTTCATTGACACGCTACGATTCAAGTACATATAGATGCTCTCGTAAGCATCAAGTTTGTATGCTGCATTTACTTGTTTTTTCAATTTAACGTTGTTTATGTCCCAATTCATATGATTGTTCTCCAGTGCATGTCCTGCTATAGCTGATTTCGTTGACGTTTGTGTATGCTGGTCAAATGTTCTTTGAAACGTACGTATTGTCGAAATACATCCGAACCATTGTTTCAATTATTGTTATTTATTTGAATAGAATTTTTGAAATTAAATTGGCAATGTCAATAAGGTGCAATATACTTGAAAAAAATTGTGTTTTATTTTAAAATCTTTGATATTTGATGGACGTTGCGGTTAAAAAAGTTTTTGTCGTTTTTCAAAAAACAAATTTAAAGTGAACAAATTTTGTTCATTCTCCGCAATTTTTAAGACGGAAACATTTATAAAAATTTTTTATAAACATTTCGGTCCGTTTAAAATCACACTAAATGGATGGACAAAATATAAAAAATGGTTAAAAGAATTAAATCGACAGAATTTCTATAACAAGATATTGTCTTAACTCTTAAAAGCCCATGTTTAATAGCATTATTAAGTTGTTTGTGAGCGATTTGGATTTCTTGTCGAACATTCTTCGATTAAATACACGCCCGTGTATTTTTATATGTTATTAATGTTTGGTTTAGTTTTTTTTTTGTTTTGAATTCAGAGATTTGGAAATACATAGTTTTTTTTATTTTAATTTTATTTTGTTTGTTTGACAATTTGAATTGTAGTGAATGTATTTATTATTATATATGTAATAAAAGAAAGGCGTTGTAACGAAATGCGCTTCTGTATTCGGCTTACACACTTATTGTTTATTAAATTTTGAAATTTACTAGCACTTTGCATTTCGTGCCGCACTTGTCACACATTCAAAATAGTAATTTGTTAGCGTTTAAATATTTTCTTATAAAGTTATCTATTTTCATATATATATTTGTGATTTTTTGTTTATTCTGTTTTTTTTTTTTTTTTTTTCAAGTTATTTTTACCTTACAACCAAATGATAAATGCTGTTGCTGTTTTTATTGTTAGAAAAATGTTAACGATTTCTTATTTCATAGATAAAAAGATAAAACATCTGATTTCATTCTTTTGACAAACACACACAGAAAAACTGCTTATCAATTATTTTCTCTGTTTAAACTTTATCTTAAATTTATTTATATTAGCCAATTTGCTGTTGAGTTAAATGGTCATTCGTTAAAAGCGAAGTGTACAGTGTAAGCGCCAATGAGAGGATGTGAAGACTTCAAGTCTCTTTGAACCGACGGTGGCGCCCCAAAGGAGTTGGTGAAAAAGTGAGTCTAATGTCAAATTTAAATATGCATTTCAATGCGAGTAAAAGAGACAACCATATAGATTTCACCAACTCCTTTCAAAGGGGACGTCAATGTAATTTAACAACTCAAATCGAAACTAAACAGCGCGACAATTTTAAAAATTGCTGTCATTTCCTCCCATTGGTAAGGCGCACGTAAAATCATACCAAATATGTGAACATGCGGGTTTACCATGTGGTTTACATTGCTCGTAACTAGCGTCAGCTGCAAAAAAAATTTGTTTTTTTTTTTGGCTTTTTTAATATCAAAATACATTTGATTTAATTTTTCATTGTATAAAAAAAAGAATGAACAACAAAATGGAATTCTGATTGAATGAAACTCGATTTAAAGAAGAAAGAGGGAGAGATGAAAAAAGGAACGAATGAATGTTGTTTTATGAAGCGTGAATCTGTAGTTAACATTGCGTGAATCGAAGTAGGTAGATTGGTAGGTAGACTAAGGATTTTGCAAACCATGAATGAGACCATGGTTCATTTGAACAGTGACTATCTCTTAGAGGCAAGCGTTCAGAAAGACATACATTTATGCGAGCGATTGAATGATGCTTGCATCATTTGATGCGCATCGATTGTGCTATCGCCATACATTCGGATCTTCGGCAGCGCACGAAGTGCTCCGAACGCACAACGAAAGCACTAGCGATTCCCTTGCACACAAAATTATGCTAAATTTTACCAGCCCCGTAACCTTTCCACATTTTCTTTTTCTTTTCTTTGGAAGCTTCAGTCTTTTTTTTAGTTGTGCATTTTTTCGAAATACTTATATTTTTTAACTTTCATTTTTAATGGGAAGGCTCAAACTTATGGCACTGTCATGGAAAAAATTTTCCTCACCATGCCTCTATCACCTCTTTCTCTAAGGAACAGTCCCTGATTTACAATCAATCAGTTGAACGAGAATGACATTCATTCGAGTAACTAAACACAACTGTTTTTCTGCAAACATTTATTTTTTCACACGTATTTTCCTTCTCATATTAAAATAATTTGATTAAAAAAGCACCGTCACTTGCCTGGCCTTATATATATTATGTCGAGCATTCAGTTTTTTCATTGCTTCTGTATGTTTTAATTAAAGTATGTTTCTCATCCATGTATTTTTAAGGTTCTTCTTTAAATATAAGTATAGAAAATGTGCGTAGAAATTGTTTTTTTTTTGTTAAATATTGTCCTGGGATTTATTTTTTTCATATCCCAAGGTATAAAGACTTATTGTTTTTTTTTTTAAATTCTTGTTTGCGAGTGTATTTTTAAAAGTGGAGGAAAATTTAACGAAAATGATGAAAAAAGACTGGATCATGACAAAGTTTGGAGATATTTTGAAAGTATACAACTTTCAGAGTTGAGTCTGGCACAAAAGATACCATTTTGCGAGCATTCTTCGTATATTGGCGATTTTGATCATTATGAACCGATTTCACTGCAATTGAACCGAAAAAAAATCACAATTAATCGGAGGGATTTAAAAATTAAGAAAAAAGAGTAATTGTGTATTACCTTCTTACACTGTCGGCATGTTTTGCAAGCTCGAAAGTCGTTTGATTTCTGAAAAATATGGCTCATGAAATGAGGAAATCAAAACAAACCCATTGGGAACTTTTAGCAATACTGTTTTTAATGAAATACCTTTTTCGGAGCATAAGCATTCAGCATAGCTTCTGAAGTTCGCGATCCAAGGGGCTTAAACTTAAAATTGTTCGAAAATATAGGGTGGTCCACAAAAAGGTCCTCATTTTTTTTCGGCAAGCCCAGAAAATTCAATATGGAGTTTTTGATTGGAATCAGACCAAATGGATTACGAGGGGGGAAGTAAACATCGAAAGAAAGAATTTTTTTCTTGTCAAATCCCCGAGGAAATTGAAAGAGAATTGACACCACAAAAAATTGATAACCAAAGGTCTTTAATTTTCGAAAAAATTATTGTCCGTTGACCATGGGGTCGTGGTTAATCCAACTCGTCGAAGATATGAGCCTCAATGCTTTTTTCATTTACATTTTTCTTCAATCAAGAACAAGAAAATTGATTTTATTTTTGATATTTTGTCACAGCGTTTATGTCATAATAAAGTGTGTCGTATGCTTTTGAAATGATATTTTTATTGGTAATGAACCACGTTCATAAAACGTTCACATCATTTACCGTTTATTTGCCAACATAAATAGGCTTGAAATGCTGCCAAAAAAGTGGCATTTTCGTTTATATCATGAGATTGTTTTGAGCATATTCGACAGTTGGGTCTGTCTGTCTGCATTTTTTGATCGCAAAATGTTGGCATCTATGCACGAAAAAGAAATGTTTCTGCTTTCACTCACACTGATGTCGGCAAATGTGACACTCATGTACGATGGCTTTTATCCTCGAGAAAAAATAACGACGTGGAAAACTGTACGTGCAGAGCTGAACCAAATTCATTTACCGAACTAGACGAAATTTCCGGTTTTGTGAAAACTTGAAATGCACTTTTTATTGCCGTACCAACCTCGTTTCGTTCTCTCCATCTTCTAAAGTTTTTTCTCTAGCCTTGTCTGGTTAAAAAAAAAAAAAAACAAAAAAAAAAGCTTGAAATTTAACACTTTTGAAATTGAATTTCTCAAATGTCTGAAAACCGAAGCGACAATTATTTCAATAAAATTATAGGAACATATTATTCTAATTCCATTTGAAATTAAAAGCGTAATGGATGTTATTATTAGAGCTTATCACTTGAACTGATGTTGCGGCAAAATGATTGTATTAATTAAACGCCACATCATATCGTCGATGTTTTAAGTCACGATGGAAAAAAGTTCGCATTGAAAATTATGAAAGAAAATTTCATTGTCAACGCGGCGTGTGGAGCTGAAAAAAAAAGTGCCAATTTTAAAATTGTGGCTGCAAGAAGATCAACAAAAAAGGGATCCCAAATTGTATATCAAAAAAATGTATTTTAAAATATTCATCAATTTTGCGAAGAAAACAACTCAATTTTGATTGAATGGTTGTGATGTATTTCGTTAGGTTAAAGTAGCTCCCTGTCATTACTAATTAAGAGCTAAATTAATTTCCGTCAACATGAAAACACGCCCGTGTTTACAACACCCTCATCTCGAGGCCAAAATGATTAATGAGCCCACGTGTTCATATTTCGAATAGATCAAATTGCGTGTTTAACTGATTATCATTAATATTTTTTTTTAGTTTTATTTTGATACTTAATCAAATTAAGTGACAAAATAATTTTTGCAATGAAAACAGTGATGTGCTGATGTTGATTGACTAGACACTGCATGCCACAGTTTATTATATTATTAAACATTTCATCAAGCAAAAAACAAAAACAACAAATTAGTCATAAATCATATCGTTGTGTTATTTGAAACGCATTTTTAAATGAACAACACATGAAATGCGTTTTTCCCTCATTTGCTCAAAATTCAGTTCAAGGCCAGAAATGAAAATGACTATAAAACAATGATGACATTGAGATTATGGCATACAATGCATTATGGATTTGGTGCATAGCGAAGGTCTAGATTCAGCAACAGTCACATCAGTCGCAGAATTTCTCTGCTTACCCCAACGCTTGCCCCTTTCTCTCTGTTTTGTCTCGCCAACTTGGTTCAAAAACGAAGTACACAAAACGCAACTGAAATTAATGGAAAAAGCTAAAATGAGGACGATGCCAAAGAAACGGGAACTTCATTTAATTTATCATTTGAAATAAAAAGCACATGCATATGAAAGCATCAAATGAAGTTATCATATTTGCGTGGCCTGGGCCAAAATGTTTTCAAACTGTTTTATTTTTTCTGTTGCGATCGCCCAGCATGAAATTGAAAGATTAATAAACAAAATTTTCGTTTCTTTTTGTACTCGTATCTATCGAACATGTTCAAACTGCTTTGTTACGTGCAACGAATGACGAGCGGGGCAATCAATTGAATAACATGGGCCATGGCACAGCATTTCGCTACGTTCAACTATGTTTGACCAATGAATACACAAAAAAAATGTACATCGTTGGTAAACTGTTTGTATGGCCGATATGAGATGGTTGAATTGTTGTTATTTTCCTCCTTTTTTTCACTGATTTTCTGTTCGTTTGCCTAACCAAAACATGTTTGTCCTTTTGCCTGCAGCCGTATCGTGTTTCGAATGGCAAGAAGAAATAGAGCGAGAAAACGATGTTATATTGCACAGAGATGATTATTTTACTTCCGTAAATATTGATAATGGAAGTCAACCGCGCTCAGGCACACGCAGTTCATAGCCTATTTTTTTTGTTTTGCGCTTATGTGTGCGTGACGACAGAATATACCAACTCCTATCTATCTGTCTTCCAATTTTGTTGTTGCTCGTTCTCTTATTTCGTGCCAACTGTTTTCAAAGTTCCGGAAAATATGCTCTCTTTTTTTCTCGCTTTGATCATAATTTTCAAAGCAGCAAATTAACGCTCGCCTGTCACCTTCCTTTCGGAAAAACGTCCGTTGTTTGTGCGATTAAAACGGTGCGCGAATCAAGCTAATCGTTTAAACCCAGTGCACTTTTGAAGCAAATGTATACTTGCTACTTGTACGCACCACACAAAAAAAGTGAATGTTTATTGAATGGATGTAGATTGTAGAACACGTACCAGAAATCAACACTTGAATTATAAATAATGACACCGCGTAGGTTCCATTGTTTTTTTTTTTTGTTCAAATATTCACGACTTTGAACAGCGTCTTTTTTTGTTTCATTTAAATTCAAGTGGATATAATTCCGTTTGTATTCGCACCCAAGCAAATAACATCAAATTCATTTTTGTTTTTCATTTTTGAGAGACACGCTTTAATTTTTATGAAAACTGTCTTCACATTAAAGGGCACTCATCTCACGAAATGCCCCTTTACAGAACAAAATAAAATTCATTGCATGGAAATTGTTCTGGATGGTAACCAAAAAAAAAAATGCACGAAAAATATTTCCACCTTAAATAATGTGTGGACCGAAGAAAAACAAAATGCCGGAATATGTGGCAAACCAGAATGGTTAATTCTCAATTTCCATAGTTTTCCGTAGTTCGAAGCTGAATGCGGCGGAAGTACCTGCTCAACGGGCTCAATTAAAGTAATGGTGTTTTAGGTACCAGAACTGACTTTCTCCCTCTCTCCCGTCTTCTCTCTCTCTCTCTGCATTCCTCTAAATTGATTCGATTGTGTTCGTTTTCAAAAATGTATCATTTTAAATAATGCAATTTAGTGTTGTTTGTGTGTGTCATTCATTGCATTAAAGTTTGAGAAAATGGTGGGGGTAGCAAATTGTTTGTGTGTTCGACACCACCGCTACTCCTCAACCAGATTTGAAACCAGTATGTGTTTTAATGTTCTTCATTTGTATACATTTTTTCTCTGTTCTTTCATCGATTCATGTGTTTTTTTGTGTTATAAGTTGTTATTTTTATTTTGTTTTTTTTTTTAGTAAATGCGGCCTATTTGTGCTGATGAGCAATCGATAAATTCTTAAGTTGGGTAGTTTTTCCTTTAAATTGGATTCAAAGTACAGTTTTTTTGTTTAAATTACAGATTGAGATAAAGGATAGTGGGTGGATGTTTTTTGAGGTATGGATGTGTAAGAGAATTGAGATGATGTTTTTTTTATTATTAAAATATGAGCATAGGTGTTGACAAAAGAGCACACGATCATGGACTTTAAAAAGCAACGATCTTTGAAGAAATCGATTGTTGTGTGTTTGTGTATTGCCAATTGTTATTTTGCGATGAAACAAAAGCCCAGAAGAACATTGAATGTTGTCAGCGCCTATTTGTTTTTTTTTTTTTTATTTGGATAGCGGTCAATAAGGCCCCGGATGGACAGCGAGTTTCTTAATTTTTTTTCTTTTATATGGCAATGTTAAGTCTGTCCGGGGTTTTATTCCTTGTCCCCCACTCCATTTTTTGTGCTGCTCAATGGTTTATAAAACGTTGAAACGAATTCCATTAGACTATAAACAATGCCGGGCCCTTTTCCCGGCTGTGTACAAATGAAGTCATCCAAATTGTGGGTGTTTGCTGTTGATCAATAAAAGAAATACACAAAAAATTAGAGTTAAAAAATCAACTTAATTTAACCAAATTATATAATCAGAAATGTGGGCGAAATAAATACAATCATTCGACACTGGCTGAAATAATGTTGCAAAACAAAGATGGACAAGATTTTTCAATTTAATTTTACAACGAAAAAGAGGAGAAAAAAAACACAACCACTCCAAAGCTGCAAGAAGCGCAAAGCGTTGGCAGCAGTTAATCGAAATTCCATTCCTAAGTGTCATTATTTTCAAATTACTTTCAATGCGTGTTTTTTTATTCTCAATTTCGCGTTGGGTTATTTTTTTATCCTTGACAGAGTTTTGCTTAAATCATACGCAATGATTTATGTGGTGTTTTTTTGATGCCACTATACTGCTGCTGTATACATGCTTGTTTTTACTTTAAATTCATAGCAAAACCATTGACAATGGGGTTAAAGCAAAAATAATATCCTTAATTTTGAATGAATCTTTACGAAGAAAAAAATCAATTTTATTTCATCACAAATAATTAATATTATTTGCCATGAAATAAAAGTCATTTTTTTTACCGAAATGATTCAAAAGGTCGATTTTCTGCAAGCATGTTTGGTCCATATTCATTTGAATGGCGTCAGAATAGTCTTTACTTACCACTTGACTGAATCGGTGGATATGGTGGCGGAGGTTTGATCCATGTGGTGTCTGGTCTTCGCATATGTCTCCGGTCCGATGAAAATTCAGCTAAATATTGTTCGGCCGGTATAACTCTAAAAAATCTACGCTCATTCGTCGAAAATAAGACAGGAAACCATCATTCGGAATGAAAACGTCAAAATGAAAAAAAAAATAGTCAGAAATTAAGAGAGTAAAAGAATTTTTGTCATTATTTGTCTAAAAAGCGGTTGAAGCATGAAATCGCACTTGTGAAGCTTTCACAACAAAGCATGTTACCACAGCAGCACCTTCTTGCCAGGAGCCACTCAAGAGTTTGTATTATTATACATAATATAGAAATCAACCGATCCCATAGCTGGGCAGACTGAAAAAATTAGGGGGGGATTGGGGGGTTAATTTCTTCAAAAACTCCTAGCAAAATAGGAAATTTTCAGCCATGATCCAAAAACCCTAGCAAAATGAAAAAAATTCTATCCAAAATCATGAATTTTGTAAAGGGGTAACGAAAAAATTTGATGTCTCAGGAGGGAGTTATACCCCACTCCTCCCCTGTCTGCCCAGCTATGACCGATCTGAATATCCGCCGCCCAAACTCAACGGAGAAATATTTTGGTTTGGGTTGGATTTAAGCTGAATCAATTGGAAACTTGTTCAAATATTTTTAGTCCTTCGCATTGATTTTTATGGCCGTTCTGATTATAGTAATATGCTCGGATGTTTTTTTCTGACCACAGTCTGCGTTTGGACAAGAACGAAGACAATTCTGTGGAGATTTGGGTCAATTTTTTTTGGCTGTTTGTGACCTGTGGTAATCATACCTATCACATTAGTGACAATTCCATGCCTTGGTTGCGATCGTTTGGATGTATTGCTATGATTACTTTTAGATTTCGGTTACATCGATATAGTTGTGCAAACCAAAATCAATATTAATATCAAAAATCTTACCTATGGTGTTCGGGTCTCAAGGCCAAATCCGATCTAAAGGTCTCAGTCACATATTTTGAGAAAAATGTTGGAAATGGTAGCGTTGTATCTAAATCAAATATAAGACATCGCGTTGGTGCTGGATTGTGCATAAAAAATACATGATAATCCTTTACATCCAAATTCGGTGTCCATCATTCATAATCCAATTGCAATTCAGAATATGAAAAGATAAAGAAATTAAATTTCGATTATTAAAAAATCATATCTGCTAAAACTCTGTACTAGTATATTAAAAAAAAAAAAAAAGAATTTTAATTCATAGCATTTGTGTTGATTTATTTTTGTTTTCTCCGTCCTTTTCACATAAATTTCACATTGATGTGTACTAAATTCAATAAATGTGCTATGCAAAATTTACTCCAACAAAGGATTTTATCGTCAAGCATTCTCATCATAACGTTTAGTCCTTAAAACACTTCATTTTCAATGAGCGAGCACAAAGGTGAAGAGGTTTTCTTATCTACTGTATTCTGCATTTAAAATTTTATTTATGAATCAACTTAAGTTTCTCATAAAATAACATGATAATGCTGACTTTTGTGCGAAAATTGTACAAGCATATGCAAACTGTTACCAAGTGACATAAATTAAATAATTAAAGTGAAGTAGTTTTTATTTCACTTTGTAATTTTTCTGGAATGAGATTTTGATTTGCGTTAAGAAAATTATCACGTTCGGTTTGCATTTAAAATAATATTTTGAGTTAATTCAGTCAGCACTAAACAGAATTTAAAAGCATATATTGCAGCCGATGCGCTTTGGCACTTTGATTGAATTCCATTGTCAATATCAAACCGAACAGAATATATATTGCTTCGGTTTTAATATGGAAATTTCATTCTCTATATATTTCTTTTTCTCATTTTTCGTCGCATTTTTTTTATTCCATTCTACCATCAATTGTTTACGCTCAAACAATCAAGTCAAGCCAAACAACGGAACTGTGAACACCAAGTGACGTGTCTTTGAAAGTGATTCAAATATACAAAATGCACACACATCTATTTAAATGCTTTTATGAGAAGATTCTTTGGTGAACAATGTCGATCACATTTTTAAATCTACTTTGTGCAACTTTACAATGATGTATCTGAATGTCTTCGAAAACATGGCGAAGTTTTTTAATATTCTGCTGTACAATATGGAAACAATATAGTAATAAACAAAACACTACCACTGTGCCTATCTATTGAATTTCAATTTGTTGTCGTGGCAACTCATTGTCTAGCTCTTTTTTCTTTATTTCTCGCTTATTTTCTTTATTACAATTTGACAGCATTCGTACTATTCTCATGCCAAGTTGACAACAGAAACTTCAAATAAATGCAGATAAAACAAGGCATGTGGCAAAAGAGTGTGAGAGGGAAGTAGAGGAGGAAAGCGCGAAAGTGTGTGAGTGAGAAGGATGCACATATGAAAAGTTGTGAAAATGAAATCGAATATAAACGAGAACGGTAAAGCTAGACAAAGTAATGATAAGACGATGTAAAGGAATAATGAAATGGTGTCAAAGCTTTGATTCGGTGCAATTTGTGTCAGTTGAATGTTTTGCGTTGATTTGATGGTGTATGAGTGAATTGAATTCATGCCTAAATTATTAAATGAATCATAACTATTTAATGATTCAATCAACACGTTTCCCAATGACGCTCTGTTACATGCAAGCACAAGCCCCAACTATCTTGAACCACTGCAATTTATCCCGGTTGTGTTCATAATACGTTCACAGCAATAATCAAGTTATCTCTCTTTCTCTCTCTCTCTCTCTCTCTCTCTCTCTCTCTCTCTCTCTCGTATGTCTTGTGCGGATCCAGAGTAAATGCATAGTCGCGTCTTACTTGTTCAAATTGCATCATGAATTTTACAGTGAAATATTCTATCGAATTCATTTCCCTTTTGTAGTGCTTTAATCAAAAGCGCGCACACACACATTCAAAAGCAATCTTCATCTTGCATGGATTTATTTCAACGAAAACGATTTGACAAACAGGTTTTTGTATGGTTCCTTTTTTGTTGCTTACATTAGACTCTATGTAAAACCACGAATTGAATAATTATACCATTTTCCGGCACTTTGTTTGATGAATTTAAGTTTATTGGGAAACAGCAGTGGCTGCAGTTTGTTGGTGATGGAAAATGGAATGAAATTTTTACTGAAAGGAGAAAAATGCGATTTTTATTCCGAAACACTCTTGCAATTTGGGAGATTTCCATTGCAAACACAATTTTGTGAAACGATTTCAAGCATTTCTTTCATTCGAATGAAACCATATCCTAAGACGGGCAGATGTATTTTATATCGATCCGGGCCAGATTATCCGGTCGAGTATACTTCAAATCCGGTCAAATTCGGAAAATCTTTGAAATATTTTTCGCTTTCCACAAACATAAAAATGGTCAATATCAAGAAAAAAATCCCGCATTAGTATTGAAATAGATGGAAATTGTTAAGAAAATCCGAGCGAAATTCACTTTTTCCGTCTTATCCGGGCGATTTTTCGTCCGGTTTCTTCTCCAAGTTTTGCCTCTAAAACTCGGGAAATTCGGTCAATCTAGCATCCTTATCGATTGTGAATGGAATGTTTTTTGTGAATGGAACTTAGGATTTTTCACATAATAAATTAACATTCTCTGATTCAGAGATGTTGATTTTTTATGTACACATAACTTTGCTATAAGTCGATTGAATTTATTTAATATTGATTCGCAGTCCATGTGCATGAGTCTCAATTTTTCGAACCTCGTCGACCATGAATGGCCAGCTGCTATTCTAGTTTGGCCAGCTGCTGCTTATAACCCAAGCACTCAATTTGCACTGTTCACCCGGGGCATTCGCACCGTGCGTCAGTTACGAAAACACGAAACAGAATACGGAGCGACACACGAAGAAAGTAGTGTATACGCTTCATTCCTTGCGTCTTATTCGTTATTCCCTTTTTTCAGCTGTTTGAATGGCAAAGGCTGCTACGCTACTTATCAAAAATATAAAAAAGGAGAATAAAGAATAAGACGCAAAGCACGAAGCATATATGCAAATACACTACTTTCTTCGTGTCTCGCTCCGTATTCTGTTTCGAGTTTTCGTAGCAGACGCACGGTGCAAATGTCCCGGGCGAACAGTGCAATTTGAGTGCTTGGGAATTATCTGAATATTTCAAATGACTCATTTGGAGCTCGTCACTCTGGTTTAACCAATTAGGTATGGTTTCTATTCATTCAACATCGAAGAAGCCGATAGATGGCCATATTCTTGCACACCATGTAAAAAAAGTCTGAAATGTTCAGAAAAATTAGCCATTGATAGATGAATCTCGGTTTTGCATGCATTTGAAGTGCATCTTTAAGTGGCACAGACTCTGTACGTCACTACAATTTCTGAAGATTAAGTGGTATCGTTGCCTCTATAATCAAAATCATTCAATCAATCCCGAAACCATCAACACAACCTCTTCAAATTCATCACATTATTCACTCCCACCAATCGACGCTGGATAATGTTGGCTTTTTTTTTTGTTATTTTGAACGCGCAAAAATAGTTCAGCGAATTGGAGTTGAAATAAGACGAATGATTATTGGAAAAAGTTTTAATCGAGTGAATGAGCCCGATGAAAATCTGAAGATTGTGACGTGATGATTTGGAAACGCAAATTTTCTGTCATGCAAATCCTCAACATCGTCGCATCTATAATTAAAATGTTGGCAATGATTAATGTGTTTATTTTTGGTGAGAATTCCGAATGATAAAGATGATGGCGATGAAAGAAATGGTATGAACGTCATCAGAAACGATTAAACGGAGACGTTCACAACAAAAGAGCAATGAAATATATATCGATTACGTGGCTCTTTTAAATTGTAATTTGTTCATACACTTTGAAACGTCTATTAAATCACATTACACACACACCTATAAATCAGGCGTAATGAAATGCGGAGCTCCTAGAACGTTGGTATAAACCAAATTGAAGTGCTGAGCTTAACCGATTTCTGCAAAATTCCGAACATAAATCGCGACTACAGACAACAGCGATGAGAGCTGATTATATCGTTGAAAAAAAAATGCACAAATGCTTTGAGTCTTATCCAGTTTAATTGAATTCTCACACGTATTTACTGGAAACATTCTAATTGATATTGGATATTGGATCGTTAGATATTTGAACTTATGCGATTGTAACTTTATATTTTCAACATTTTAAATATGGTCGATTTTCAAGTATAGCCATTTGAGAATAAAATCGGGGGAAATGCAAATCATTAAAGGACAAAGACAGAGCGTCGACGGTCTATGTGCAGTATCTTACTCGGTCAATAAGCTTCGAATAGAGCCGCATTCGAACCATTCAGCTGTCACCCAACAATGACGTCTATTGATAAAGATTGTGGTGTCGACAACTTATTGCGGAACTATTTTTGGTTTTTCTCCAATGGGCACTTCAGAAATATTCGAAAAGAAATTTTGCTCAAGAAGATTTGAAGTTAAACCTAATTCTAGCGTATGTTAAATATTAAAAGTTGTTTTTTTAACATTATCTTCTTTCGAAATCTTCGAAGTCTTAAAATCATTTTTATAGGATGGGTAGTCGAACTCCGGTCGATTTCAAATGACTTTCAAACTTGATGAACACATTTTTTAGTTGTATCGGAAAAATGAATTCTTATGACAAAAAAATTGACTTTCGATATCCGGGAAAAGTTCGTATATATGCAGAACGTTCGCCAAAATTTTGACATTTTGGACCAAAAGAAAAGAGAAGTGTTTTAACGCACAAAATGTTTCTTATTTTTTGCAAACTAAGACGGACGGTGATTTGACTCACACTATTGTAAACTCCCTTCGCTTCTTGGTGTCATTGAGAACGAATTTATATAACGTAAAACTGTTACAGATGTTACAATAGACAAATACATCTGTAGCAATGCTGCAAGCGATACAATTCATTCGAATGAGAAATTCTGATTGAAGCGAGAGAAGGGATTGTATTCTCATTGCTAAAGGAAAATGCCAAGAATTTATGTAAAAAAAGTCACTCTGAAGAGAGAAGATAAGAGATGATGCTGAATAAGAATAAGTAACAAAATAACAAACTAAGTAAATTTGAAATGA